TGCCAGGAACCAAACCCACAAACCCAGGCTTTGCACACGGTAGGTAGGCAAGCGTTCTGCCAGCCAGTCACATCCCCAGCCTGTTTAAAGACATAACAGTTGACCAGGGGTCACTGCTTCCCAAGATCCGCTAGCTCTATTGCTTTGGGTCTTAGACAACAAGACAGACCCTCATGGCAGCAAGAGTGTGGCAAATGCTTCCCAGGTCATGCTGGCCAGGAAGCAGAATGCAACAGAGGAAGGGCACAGGGACAAGAGACCCTTCAGAGGCATGCCCCCGGGAACTCCTTCCTCCAGCCAGGCCCTCCACCTCCAAAGTTCCCACCACCTCCCAAAGCAGTACCACCAGCAAGAGACCCATCATTCAACACATGAACCTATAGGTCGATCTATATTCAAATCACAGGACTGAAGAAACTAGTCGAAGGCAGATTTTAAAAAATCTGAAATGGCAGCAGGTGCTTCATGTCTGCAGATTCCACATTTGAGTGTTCAATTCATTACAGATCACACATATTAAAATGTATTTGCACTAAATACACAGTTTTTTTTTCCTACCACTGCTTACTACAAGGAAACAACCATTTACACAGCAGTCACTTTGCCTCAGGTAGCATTAGTCCTCTCCCAGTGAGCAAGATGCTGCTACCTGTTGGGAGTAGAGGTCTTGGAAACAACCTCAGAAGTCACCAAGGGACAACTGTAGATGCTCCTTAAATGCACAGGCCTTATTCTGGCTTCATACCAGTCAGTTCTATGAACTGGAGAAGGGGAGAGAGCATTTTAGTATGGTAACAGCAATAAAGGGCAATAAATGATCCTGCTGCCCACAAATCAACACCTTGAAGGTAGTGGGGCTACTCCCATCACAACACAATCCCTCCTTTTCACAGCTCTGGAGCTTCTTTTTCAATGCTATAGAGACAGCAAATACATAAATTATGTAGTACTTTAGAGCTTTAAAAAAAAACTTCAGGACAACTTTCTTGAAAAAGGCTACATTTTTTTAAAAACAACAGTTAAACTAGCACCTGGAGTTTACACCTCAACATGAACACGGAAATTTGTGAGAATAAAACGTTAAAGAGTAAGGACTGGGCCCGAGTAGATATGGGGAAATGTAGCTAGAGGTTTCCTGCCTTGCCCACAGTCAGGACAAATCTTTGTCACCCGCCAGTCCCACAGCCGCTCAGACCCAACCAAATAAACACAGAGACTTATATTGCTTACAAACTGTATGGCCATGGCAGGCTTCTTGTTAATTGTTCTTATAGCTTAAATTAATCCATTTCCATAAATCTATAATTTGCCACGTAGGTCGTGGCTTACCGGCATCTTCACATGCTGCTTGTCATGGTGCTGGCTGGCAGTGACTCCTTCCGCCTTCCTGTTCTTTCTTTTCTCCTGTTAGTCCCACCTATACTTCCTGCCTAGCCACTGGCCGATCAGTGTTTTATTTATTGACCAATCAGAGCAATTTGACATACAGACCATCCCACAGCAATGGGGGACTGGGGAACGGTCTCTTTTTGCCCCATGGTCTGCTATGGTTTCCTTTGCTCTGAAACTCCAATGTGCAGATCCCAGAATCAAGTGCTTTAGTGCCCTCTCGTGGCCACTGCCCACCCCTGCAACCTCATTTTGTTGCAAATTCCCTCGTCCTCCAATTCTCTGAGCAGGAACAGCTTTTATAGCAACTCAACTTTGCAGACAAAGCTCTAAAGGTGAGTACTATCAAGTTGAATTTTCCACCATTATGTTGGAAAGCAGCCAAAGGCAATCAGGAAGACAAGACACCACAGCAACATTACTGTCATGTTTTTATTTACAGACTAACAAGTCAAGAATATTGATTTACATACATAGGGAAAGGTGGGGAGTCTTTCAGTAGGTGACAACTCTGAAGACAGTTCCTGGGAAGTAACTGTTAGCATGAACTAACATTTGGCATGCTGTGGTCTGCGGCTTGTCAGTTCCTTTCACTTGGGTCCCCATCTCACCATGCAGCTTCCATTTTAGCCTAAGGCACCAGCAAAGAACCTTCTCTTCTGTGTATAAGCCTGTGTCTGAGCCTTTCTTTTGTGAATGTACAATGATCACAGTAATTGGTGACGAAAGGGTCAGTTCTCCCTGAATTTCACTTGTTTTATTTTTGTTTTTAGGTAATAGACCCTAGCTAATATAACCATTTTTTCTATTTGTATTGTTTTTCAAGCAATACATTATTTAAAGTCATAGACCATTTTCTGTTGCTATAACTTGAATAATACAGACTGAGCATTTTATAAAGAATAAAGGTTTACTCACCTCACAGTTCCTAGGACTAGGAGATTCAGACAGGGGGCCGCCTCTGGTGAAGGACTTCATGCTGTTTAGAACTCTGCAGAGTTCCGAGGTGGCACAGGATACCACGTGGTGGAGGAGAGCATAAAAAGGGCAAACCCACACTGGCATTTATTAAGAGTTATTCCAGGATACTCCATTAATCTATAAACGGATCGACCCATTCATGAGACCTAATGTGCCTCTGAGACCTAATGACCTCTTAAATCCTCTTCCATCTCATTTCTTAATATCTCACAGTGGGGACTAAATCCAAAGTGAGTTTTGATGAATCATTCAAACCACAATACTTAACATTTCTTGTTGTTGTACTGGTTCATGTATGGGGGTATGCATGTGCACGCACGCACATGTGTGTCTGTGTATGTGTGCGTCACAGTGCACATGTGGAAGTGAGAAAACAAGTCCGTTCCCTCCTTCCTTCCACCATGTAAGTCCCAGGATCAACCATCTCATCAGTCCAAGAAATTGACATTTATAAAAATTTGAACATCTTAATTGTTCGCTACAAACCTGATTGGATTTAAAGAATATGATTACAAAGTATTCTGAAGATAAATATTCATATGCTCCAGTATGCACATACATGTCCATTCTATACAATTTGCCTTATCTTTTAAATGAGCATGTTTTACAGCCGTCGGGACTATAAACCATGATCTCCCTCTCGTGATTCTGCAACCTAAGAGGTAAGTCGAAGAGAAAACAAGCAGGGAGAATATGGAAGCCAAGCCCCAGGCTGTTCCCATACCAGGAGGACAACTGAACTGAGTGAGGGGAAGAAACCTAAACTTTGCAAGCAGAGACAGGTCAGGAAGTCACTAGATTCAAGTCCCCTGAAAAATGAAACATATTGCCTGCAAGCTAGTACAAGTTTATACATAAATACAATGTTATATTCGCCACTTCTACAGAAAATGCTTTACAGTTTTTCCCAGATTGACTATCAACCTGGTCCAGTTACTTTTCCTCTACAAACTTGGGTTTGAATGCTCTGGGATTTGTGAATTGGCATCAGACAGAAGCTCACTGCCTGGGAAGGAGAGAAAGGCTCCTTGAAGAGCCTGTGTGGGGGGTGTTAACATACCAGCTAAGGCCTCAGAAGGCAAGCAAGGACATTTCTGATCAGGTTCATTTGCAAACTCTTTTGAAGCTAACAATTTTAAATGTCAGTCATTTCCCTGTCTGGAAATCTCCAAAGGGTCTGAGAGCAGAATGTCCACAGCTCTGCTTTGAGTCAGGCAAGGCAAATGACTGTCAAACGTTTTCAGTTTAAAACCATTTCATGACTTCCTGGTGGCCTCTTCTATTCCAAATATCACATGAAGCTCTTCACAGAGCTTACTATGGAAAGAAGAAATTTACACAAAAAAAGAACATTCAGCACATATAGACAAGCAAAGCCTAAACACACTGTCCCATAATCCCTTGAGCAAGTCCTCCAGTCCTGGCCTCCATCGGTACAGTACACGACTGTGTCTCATTTCTCTGATGTAGGATAGGAAATGGACACCATGTGCCCTATGTGGTTTACACAGCAGCAGCATTGTATTCAGGAACTGCACAAGCCCCTCCTCATTACAGTAAGCAGTCAGCATTTCTAGAACACAATTCTGAAGTACATGAGAGGTTAGCCTAACTTGCAACTGCCATGCTGCCAAGGCCTGTGAGGTCATATTTGTTGGGGAATATTATTTTAAGGTGTGTTACTTTTGTTTATGTTGCATTTGTTTAACTTCATATTTGTTTAATTTCATATTCTGAGCATGAGACTTCTTCCTTATTCACAATTTTTCAACATTAATATTCTTTAGGCCATGAAAGGAAGTTTAAGAGGACAAGAGCCATTCAATTCAAAGCATTAGAAATACTATATATACAAACATATACACGGTAGTGGCTAAATGCAAGCAGCCAGGAGTCACACTTGGACCTTGTAAACAGTTCACTTGTGCGTTTCCCCTTCATTAACACCAGCTTGACATTAATTTTAAAAGGACAAGTTGAGATTTCAAAGCAATAACTCTTGTTTCAGAAAGTTTAGTTACTAAAATACCAGAGGCAACAATACTTTAAAAAGCAAAATTGCTTTTCAAGTCAGGGGCAAGAGAGAATGGCCACACCATGTTACTGTGAAGCTGTGTTACTGTGCCTGTCTAAAGCACCTGATGGTCTAATAAAGTGCTTGAATGGCTAATAGCGAGGCAGGAGAAAGGATAGGAGGGGCTGGCAGGCAGAGAGAAGAAATGGATGGAGAAATCTGGGACCCCAACTGTGAGCAGCACTGAGATTGGGCCTCATGGCCTTGGGACCCCAACTGTGAGCAGCACTGATGGGTTCAGCTCCAGTCAGTACAGTATTTGCCTTCAAGTTCATGGGAGAAGGTAATGAATGATAGAGCCCCACCTACCCACACAGTGTCAGATCCTGTATAGAAAAGGGATTCCCTTCATTGAGTGCTCTATCAAGAAAAGTGAAAAAGGAAGAATAGGAAGGCACATACGGCCATGCCCATTAGTGATCGAAGTGCAAAACTGAAATTCTCCCATTGGAAATAGAACGGGAAGAGAATAAAGAGAAAGAGGAAAAGTAGTAAGACAGGCAGGCGAGGATTTCATCTCACTTCGTTAGCTTCTTCGGACAGAACCAAAACGCAGTAGAGTAAGTAAATTCCAGTTTATTGTAGGTCCTCTTTATTTACAGTACAAGTCTCTAAAAGGCTAGGGTAGTTATCTTTAAATAACATGTCAATCATATAAAACAGCTGGAACAAAGTTAGAGAAATATATACATTTCAATACATTAAGTACTTTTAATATTGAGTTTTTCATATTAAATCAGGAGGCTACTGTGATTTACAATGTTATTTCTTCTAGTTTAAAACCTGTTGAAAGACATTATGTACATTTTTTTACAAAACTGACAAAGCAGCATTAACAAAACTGCTCGTGCTTATAATTTTCATTTTTTTCTATAATACACTGCACCCATTACAAAAACAATCCAAAAAAAAAAAAAAAAAAAAAAAAACCCAAAGGCATTGCACTAGATGTTTTGAATACTGCAGAAGTCACATTGAGAGCATGAATGTCCTGGTCAGGCTTCCCCAGGCTCACTGGCAACGTTTTCACACCGGAAACTCGGCTAACTTTCTGCAGGCTGGTAACTCTCCCTGGCATTTCCAAGAAGCCCACTGCTAATGGCTAATGTGCCAGGAAACCCCAGCCATAAAGCTGTCGCCCACACCGATGCCGGTATGAATGACCCTATTATTTAGACAGAGGCCAAAGCTAGAAATCCACTGCCCAGACACTCTGTAGGAAAGCTTGAGAAGAGCAAGTACTCAGGAGACTACAAAAGGGCTCACCATGGCTGAGCTCTCCTTTCTCCCCTCAGGCAGATAGGAAAATTAAGTCTTCTGGTTTTTTTAAACAAAATTTTATGTCATCAGAAAGCTTCATATTTATAAATAAGATTCATATACAAAGCAACATGTTGACATAATTCTCTCATGTTACTATCAGTTACTTTGGAATTCATATTCTGAGCATGAGACTTCTTCCTTATTCACAATTTTTCAACATTAATATTCTTTAGGCCATGAAAGGAAGTTTAAGAGGACAAGAGCCATTCAATTCAAAGCATTAGAAATACTATATATACAAACATATACATGGTAGTGGCTAAATGCAAGCAGCCAGGAGTCACACTTGGATCTTGTAAACAGTTCACTTGTGCATTTCCCCTTCATTAACACCAGCTTGACATTAATTTTAAAAGGACAAGTTGAGATTTCAAAGCAATAACTCTTGTTTCAGAAAGTTTAGTTACTAAAATACCAGAGGCAACAATACTTTAAAAAGCAAAATTGCTTTTCAAGACAGGGGCAAGAGAGAATGGCCACACCATGTTACCGTCAGGGGTTACTGCCCTGGAGCTCAGCTATGAGCACTGTTCTGAAACCAACAAGGAAAACAGAAACAACCCATACACAGCAGGGAAAGGCATCACTCTAGTCCCACGGGAAGTGAGGAGGACATACAGCCCTAGCTAACCGGCCAGAAAGAATGAACAAACACAAAACAGCTGGCATTCCCAAGCTGACTTGAAAGCTTTTGTTTCTGGATGCACAGAACGTTAAGTGTTCATGCAATCTTCCCGTCTGCACCTTTCACGTCACAACTGGACTCTTCAGCATTTGCTCCTTCACAAGGCACAGATGCAAGGCTGATGAGGAGGCTGAGGCTCAACATCAGGCAGACCTAAGCCCTTGGTCAACTGGCAATGAGTTCAAAACTAGTTACCTCTCACTAAGCAACAGACAGCTAACTACTACCTCATTCTCCATGGCACACATGCCAAACTTGTGCCTAGTTCGGGTGCAGACTATGCCACGTAGCAGAACATATCCAGCCTCTTTTTTTCTGTGAATATTGATGTGCTATTAGAGGAAGTCTGGAAAAAATGGAATCATTACAACTGTATAAACATCCAAATATCCTTGTTACACAAAAGCCAAGAGGAAATGTTCAGAGATCCTGGGGTAAAAGCATCTCCTCCAGTTCAGGACCTCTGGCCACTTTTTAGACGAGATTGCTGACTAGTAAACAAAGTCCTTAGGGGGAAATAACTTTACCTCTCAGCATTTCTCAGCAGCACTGGTCAGTGTGGTAGAAACTTAGAAATAGGAATATCCACACTGACTTTACAGATCCCATTAACCTGCTAGTAGTGTTGAGAGATACTTTACCACTATAAAAAACAGAAAACAATTGTTCCTTCTCACTCAGTTTCTTGGATTGGGTCTAATCTATCTTTTACTGTTAAAAAATCCTTCATTATTAATTATTCACTTAGGGATTCGGTGACTACCAATTCATTTACTGCTCATTTTGTTTCACCAAAATAAGAGGAAAATCCAGAATACAAACGCACATGTAAGTTAAGTGCTGCTTGGCTCATTACACGGAAGTTTTAAACAAGCTCCTTAAAATGTTCTAAGGAAGGCTTGAAAGCTAATGGTTGTCGGCTCCAATCACCCGCAGAAGAGAGAATGGTAAAGTCTCAAACACAGTTAAAAACTGTAAGGTAAGCTGGAGAATACAGAGTATGACAGGATTCCCAGTTTAAGTCAAATTCCTAATAAAGCAAGCACTAATCTGTTTAACTGGCAATTAACAGAATAAATCAGAATTTTCCTAAATGTTTCAGAAATTATACGAACAAACATAAAGTTACTACACAGGAAACATAAAATGAACTAAGCAAGTCTGTAGGTGCCTTCTCAGGGAAAAAGTGTCAAATGTGATGTCAGGCAGTCACAGTCTACCAGACAGCCACAATCTATCAGACAGCCACAATCTATCAGACAGCCACAATCTATCAATCTATTAGTCACAATTTACCAGACAGTCAGTCAGTCTACTAGTCACAGTCTACCTGACAGTCACAATCTATTAGTCACAATCCATTAGACAGTCACAATCTACCAGACAGTCACAATCTATTAGATAGTCACAATCTACCAGACAGCCACAATCTGCCAGACAGTCACAATCTACCAGACAGCCACCATCTACCAGACAGCCACAGTCTACCAGACAGCCACCATCTACCAGACAGTCACAGTCTACCAGACAGCCACAATCTACCAGACAGTCACAGTCTACCAGACAGCCATAATCTACCAGACAGTCACAGTCTACCAGACAGCCAAATTCACCAGTCAGTCACAGTCTACCAAACAGTCATAGTCTAGCAGACAGAGCTTTACTCTTCAAGCAACTGAGTTAGTAAATATGACAACTCAATTTCTTATCCTATATACTCATCTCTAACCACAGTCCCTTGGAAAGAAGCTGTATTTAACTTGTACAATTTCCTGGCTTACAGGCAGCTAATTTCAAGTAACAGAAGCAATGCACAATCCATGGAGCTTTTACCCTGCAGTTATAGATAGTCACAGAACTGAAAGGCTTTTGTGTTCAGTGGTATATCAACATATAGTTTGGGTCTCTTCCTCAGATATGCTTTCCTTCATGGTCTATTTCAAATCATATGCATGATTTCAGCAATTCAGATCCAACCCTGTCCAGTGGTCTGGCACCATCAGGAAATACTTGTCCATTGCTTCACAAAATCTAGTCCTATACAACTCTGGAGAGACCACAGTTGGCATTTTACCTGAGACAATGAAAGACAAAAAGGAGAAATAAAGCTGTTTAAGTGTGTATGCATATAAAAGAAAATCAATTGGACAACTGACTTAACCAGCCATAAACTGCTATATGCCAAAGCACTCTGAGGGTAGAGGCAGGGCATATGTTATGATATCTGCCATGGGTGGAGTCTTTTTGAGACATGAATTCTTCTCTTGAGGTAAGAGATATCTAAACTCAGGAATGAACTAGAGAATCTAGAAGATAGAAAATGTTAAAAATTAAAGACAATCTTTTATTCAGAATCACTGGCTTTTTAAAAACTTACTTTGAAAAACTCTGGCATAAACCTATTTCTCTACTTATATACTTATTCATATTAAAGTCATTTTCAAAAATTAGAGACAACCACATTGTTTTTTATTTTGTTCTGTGTGTAGAGAGTGGGGGGTCTTGTGTACCCAAAGCTAGCCTTGAACTCATGATGCTCCTACCTCAGACTCCTAAAAACTAGAATATTTCTATTTCTACGCCATGATGCCTGGCTGCCATGCTTTAGCGTCTTAAATATCCAAGGATGTATGAGAACAGTTTAAAAAGCAAACAAAGCGACATTTGTCTCACCTTGTCCTCCTAAAATTCCTGTTGACTTCACAACCATCTCGAGCTTTTTGTCCCAAGTAAATGTTCGAATATAATCTAGGGGTGGGAAGAGGGCAACGTGAGCAGGAAAGCCGGAACAGCAGCAACGCCTGCTACTGTCTCTCTGACTCCTTTCCAAGAGCTGTTCAAAGGACTGTCTCCACATGGCTCCGGTTAATTCTTACAGCCATGACACAGTGCCTCCTTTGAAAGAGATTCTTATTACCTCTTAATTTATATATTTTTAGAAATGAAGAAACTGAATAGAATAGACTAGAATGAAAACTTGTTTGTTAACTTTGAAATCATAAATAAAAGCTTCCAAAAGTATTCAGTAATTATACTACTAAACCAGTTCAGACTCTCTGAAATTTTACTCTAATCTTAATCGTGATCTATAAACGGGGTACAATTATTGACTTACCTATGATTCCAACTACCAGCTCATTGCTAGTGTCATCTCGACCAACCAGCAAAGAATAGTCTATAATGAGGTGGCTCGAAAGGAAATGGGCGTCACTATGGATGGAGGTTCTCAGCACAGATTTGGAATGGGAACGAATATACAGAGGGTTGTCACGAACCATCTTTAGGAGGTTTTCATCCAGCAGAACTACATCACAACTCTCTTTTCCAGTGTCAGTTTTTACATTTCGATTCCTAAGTGAACCTTTTAAATCAAAAACCTAGCAAAACAAAAATTCTTTATTATTTATGTGCAAAAAAATGGTTAATTAGTGCAACTAAAAGGCAAAAAGATTCCTTGTAGTTACTATCATAATATACACTTCTAAATTTTATTCAAAATTTAACTTTTCTAACATAAATCATAAATATACAGTAATGTAATTATGTAATACAAAAAGTGCATGGTATATGATATATTAAATTTATGATGATACAATTACATCAGATAAAACAATACACTAGTACGCAATTATTAAGACAGTTCAGAAATATGTCAATTTAACCAATTTTAAAATATATTAACAAGTTTCAGATCGTCCAACAGTATGAAAGAAGACACAAGCCGTCTTAGGAAACTTGTGAAACATTAAAACTTTATACAATCATTTAAGGCAATGTACAAGTGAGAGCATAAATTTCAGACTATCTGGAGGGTAGGAATGTCAAAGAACTCGATGAATGGTGGGAATGTCAAAGAACTCGATGAATGGAACCGGTCCATCCTAGACTGTGTTCCACAGACCAGTGCTAGCCAGTCAGTCCTGACTCATGAAGATGTTATAGCTAGTGCCAGAATGTAAAGGCATTAAGCATACAGTGCAGCTCAGCCTCTGTTCTCATACAAAGACATTCTCGGTGAGAAATTATTACACTGAATTACATGTAAACACGAGGTTTGTGTCTTCACACTAGAAACAGGTCAAGGAGCCGCACTTCAGAAAGCACTGGGAAGGAAGTCTAGTGCCTGGTTAGCTGCAGCACGTAGCAATACCATTCTCACAACATCTAGACCAACAGGAAGTCTAAAAGCAGCCAAGAGACTGACAGGTGCTCAACCTCTCTAGGACTCAGCTAATTTGATTTTAAAGTTAAGAGGTAAGAGAACATTTGCTTTCTTAGTCCACCAGCTACCTGATTCTAAAATATCAGATATATTAAATTTTAGGATAAGTTACATACCAATTTTTCTTTCTTCAAAAAATAAGTTAAATGTGCACTACTGACTAACATGTTACTCAGATTTTCTATATTCAAGAACCAAAGTACAAAGGGTTGTCCGAGTGGAAAGCTTCACACAGTCCAGTGTCCTCACCTGCGCCATTTTTCTCCCATAGAAAAGATTTTCCATGACAAGGAGATCTAACTTCTTCTCAGTGTTGTTTTGAGAGTTCTTATAACCAATTCTGTAAACTCCAAGAATTTTGGCCAAAGCAGTGGGCCTCTAATCAAAAAGAGATCAAAATAAACTATTACCAAAATAAGATTACTTCTAAGTCATAGAATATCTAATCTGTCTATCGCCAAGGATGACTTTCTACTGCTATACCAGGAATAGGTACTTGAAATTCTTCAATGTCAGAGCTGCAGTTGAATATAACACATGCCAGTAACAAACGTAGATCCTTAAATTGTCCAACAGCATACATAGCCCATCACAGCTGCTGAAATTCAAAAGCTTCAGCATCATATGGATATTAGTTCCCCCTAATAATCTGCAATCAATTATTACTTGACAACAACTACCAAAAAAACCCTCTGCAATTCCTTCATAAAACATTCACAATCACTGCTCAATGACAAGTGGGCAAACATGAGCCCCTGGTTTCCTTGCTAGCTAAGGGAAGCACTTCCTCACTTCAACACAATTGTTATTTTTGTCTCAACAAAAATGTTATTAAATGGACACCTAATAGTCTCTATTTTACACTAACTTATATATGTATGTAGGTACGTATACACCAGCTGAGGATATAAAAAGCCCAATGACCTGTGACTACAAACCAAGACTTAGGATCTCTACCTTCTGTTGAACAGCATTTGTGATATAATTGAAGTAGTGTGGTGCAAAGTCAAGGAAAGACTGGACTTCCAGACGAGGCATTTGCTTCAAAATGAATCTATCATCTACAAGGAAGAAATTCCACATTTATTCATCACAATACATATTGTCTGCTATAAAAAGAAAGTCAAATCATTTCAGAGAACCCAAATCAACTGTTATTTTCTGTTTCAAGGCATTTTTTTTAACCACCATGAAAATTTTGATCAGAAAGCAATTCTCAAGTAATTAAAATGTTAGGAGACCTAAGGATTATCTGGACGAGAACACCTATTTCTCAAATTTAAATTCATAGCATAAATTTATTCATTTTCTTTTCAGAGCTCTGAAAGAAATTGTTATTAACTCCACTGCTACTTCACTAACTCTTGCAAGTTACTGAAGTTTTTATCAAGCCACAAATGCACACTTTCTGAAATGATTTCATGCTCAGTGGGTATTATGCTATTAGGTAAGCCTGTGTAGGAAAGCACTTTGTATATTCCAGGCAAACATTTCTCCTGTTACTTTTCTATCCTCAGTTCTGCAGCACCCAATTGAGTTTCCGGCAGTTGTTCTGCTGTGGTTTGAATCTGAAATACTCCCCCTTCAGGCCCGTGTTTTCAAGCTTGTTCAGTCTGGTGGTGACACTACTATGGGAGGTGTGACACATTCAGGAAGTGGGTCCTAGCAGGTAAGAGAGAAGGACGAGTTTCACTCCACGCCAGCCTCACTTTCTGCTTCCTGTCTGTGATGATGTGAATGGCTACGGGCCACCACATGCTCCCAACTGCCAACCACTCAGAAGCTGAAACATGAGCCGAAATAAATCTATTAAGCTGTTTCTGTCAGGTATTTTGATCCCGGAGATATAAAAGTAACTAATATAATTTCTATATACATTTGGAAAACTCAGAACTAAAAAGAGTTCAGTAAGCATTTGACCCATGTCTAAGCCTATATAGTCTTTAAAGATTTTATTTTCTTTTTTTGAACAAAGCTCATATGAACTCACGAACTTCAGACCAACAGCCAAGGAGCCTACATGGGACCAGACTAGGCCCTCTGCATATGGGAGAGAGTTGTGAGGCTTGGTCTGTTTGAGGGGCCCCTGACAGTGGGATCAGGAACTATCCCTGGTGCATGAACTGGCTTTTGGGAGCCCATTCCCTATGGTGAGACGCCTTGCTCATTCTTGATGCAGCAGAGAGGGGCCTGGTCCTGCCTCACCTGAATGGACCAGGCTTTGCTGACTCCCCATGGGAGGCCTTATTCTTCTGGAGGAGGGGATGGGGGGAGAGCAGGAGGAGGGATAAGAGGACGATCTGTGATTGGGATGTAAAATGAATTAAAAAATTTGTCAAATAATAAAAGGAAAAAGAAGAAATAAAAAGCCAGGCGTGGTAGTCCACACCTTTAATCCCAGCACTCAGGAGGCAGAGGCAGATGGCTCTCTGAAATCAAGGCCAGCCTGGTCTACAAAGTGAGTTCCAGGATAGCTCCAAAGCTACACAGAGAAACCCTGTCTTGAAAAACTAAATAAATAAATAAATAAATAAATAAATAAATGGAAAAATAGTAAGATTTTATTACTCTTCTCAGGAGCAGAAAGAAACTAGAGCACTTTGTTTGCCAACAGCTAAGCATAGTGCCCACGTCAAGTGCTCCATGAACTTCTCAAGGGAAAGAACAGCAAGCGTTCTGCACCAGTAAGTAAAAAGAATTACCTTCTGTGGCGTAGAAAGCAGCTCCTGACTTGCCTCCCCGGGCCTGCCAGGGTGACGAGTGCGAGAGCGAGCGGATGAAATCTTCTTCACTGCTGCCCAGAACCACTTCACGCATCTTATGGAACTCTCCCGCGTAGTACAGGCGACAGTAAAACTTGGCATTTGCATCTGAAAATTCTACAACGGGAAGTTGAAAAGGGGCGGGGGGGAAATGGTATATAAGCGAAAAATCTCTTCCCTCTCCAAGTACCAAATGCAACAATTTAGGTTTCTCCATGATGGAATCTTTCATAATCAAGTAAAAATGTGGTCAATCACACTTGTGCTATGGTGAGCTTCCCAGTATCAGGGAACACCCTGTGACCACTCTTACTTATCTTCGAATAACTCAAACATAAGACTGCTCTACTTTTACACTGGCTGCTGTGTTTTCTTCACTGAACTTCTAAAGCAATTTTAACTATCATCTGTTATGAGCATATGGCCATCTGGCACTGAGGACTGAAGTCAGGGCCAAAACCATGCTGGGCGAGCATGTCATCCCCAGCCCCAAATAAACACCTTAATGTTTGTCAAGCTCTGTGCCTCTCAATTACATAGTAAGGAAATATTTAAATTTTAAAAATTAAAGAATAATTTATAAATACATTATAATTTAACTAAATCAGAAAATAAATAGTACAGATTTTATAATTGAATTGTAGGTTAAATAAAACTCATGCCAATACCTAACGCTCATTAAAAAAAAAACAGCACTTTTATCTAAAATGAAGTTACACATCTTATGTAACTTAGAGAAAATGTTATTGCATACTTACGAAGTTCCACATGAGGATTTGTGAGTTGTTTCTTCTGAGTATCTCCTCCATCTACCTCATCTAAAAGGTTTAATATCATTAGTAAAAGCAAAGCATTAGTTAGTTCATTTTGTCATTTTTCCCAATACAGCAACTAAAGTTAGCAAATTAATAATACAAATATCCTAATCAAATCACTATAAAGCATGCATTAGACAGAGAAATCATGTAAATGACCACAAAAAAAAATGCATGCTCTTTTCTGGGATTTCAATATTTCAGGTCAGATCACTTTTCTTACATGTAAGTGACTTCTGTGACAGCAATACAGTAAGAAGAGAATTCCCATGGCTTTTCTATCCATGCTTATGATACATTTTCTCTAGGTGCGTCTATAAAAAATGCTCCTTCAATATATTAAAGTCCTAGTAGAGTTATGTTTTTGTTTTTTTGTTGTTTTTTTTCTTTTGGCATCTGACTCATCTTTCTGGCCAGCTCCATTGGGTTCACTATAGATGAGGAACATATCCTAATATCTAGAAGAACAAACCATCCCCTGAGTTTCACATTTCAAAACCATTTGTTAGGCATCATATCCCTTCATAGCCTTCCAAGGAACACATTATAGACATCTACAGTCCAGCAGTAACATACAGAATATTAAACAGATTTTTTTTATAGACGATTAAACAGCAAAAAAATTTTATTAGTTGCTATTTTTTTGTTTTGTTTTGCTTAGTTTTGAAGTAGGATGACCGAAACTGGCCATGAACTCACAATTCTCTTGCCTTAGCCTCCTCTCCACCAAACCAATCTGCAGTTCTGATTGTTTTTCTTTTTTTATATACAATATATGTTGATCACAGTCTTCCCCCTCCCAATTCCTCCAAGATTCTCCACTCTTCCCTTCCCACCCAACTTCATGCCCTCATGTTCTTCCCCTCTTTTTCAAAAAGAAAAAAAAAAAAGGACAAAAAACAAAAACTGAAAGTCAAAACAAAAATCTAGTAAGACAAAAAGTACTAAAACAGAACATGCACATATACAAAAACAAAACAAAACAAAATCTGTAATCTGCTTTGTGCTGGTCAATTGCTCCTGGGCATGTGGCCTGACCTGCAGTGTGGCTGATAAACCCAGTGACACTCCATTGGCAAGAACTGACTTTCCTTCCCCAGCAGGAATCAACTACTAGCAGTTTCTTGATTAGGAGTAGGACTTTTCAAACCAGAGAAGAATCCCTGTATTAAGGAACTTACAAGTCACCAGACAGTTTCTCTAAAGATCCAAACAATAAATACTTCACTAAGTTACAACTATTCAACTCCCGATTAAATGTGAAGCAATGAGACAACAGGAAGCAGATGCATGTGCCCTGTTCCAATAAAATGTTACTTTTAAGCAGGTAGCTGAGTCCATCAAATTTGCCATATTCAAACATAATTAGGTAAGAGAGTTTTTAACTATCAAAATAAAGGTGCACACAAATAGCCACAATCTAACAGGAACTTGGAAAGAAGCAAACATCTGGAGGGGGTAATAGGGTAATGAAAAGCTGAGTACATATTATGAATTATGTTTACATGTGTATTGCCATTGAGCCCTTAAAAGACTGCTTTTGCTTCTTCATTGGTATGGACACTAAGGCTTTCTGCTTCTAATACATAAGAAAAAACATTGCAGACATCTGAAGCCAGATGGACTCTTTAAGTATCATGCTGTTTCTGGTCTATTACACTAAAGAGTTAAAAAAGAAAGAATGCCCTGGTTTCAGCAAAGAATTGTTTACTTAAACCTATTAAAAAACATACAAAACTGAAGAAAGTAAATTAAAGCTTAAAATAAGCACATGTGGTCCACTTAACATACCTTGAGGTTCCAGGCCTTGGCCCTCCGTCCCCTCTTTCCCGGTCTGCCCGACCTGGTAGTAAGCACTGTCGGCCCCACGTAAGGTCTCCCTCTTCTGAGAAGAGAGATCAGGGCTCTTCCCTGACGTTCCTCTGAAGAAGGACAACATTCCTGAAGCCTTTTTAGCTTAAAAACAAAAGGTAACATATTAATTTAGGTGCAGATCACTAAACCTGGAAAACAAGTTTCCAACCTTTGGTTGGCAGTAATCATTGTATGAAGCTAATGGTCTGAGTTATGCAGATACTCTCATGTACAGATTTTAATTCTACGTGCTGCTGCTGTTTGTAAGTCAATGAGCACCCTCATCAGAAATAAGACAAACTTCCAGCTAGCTGAAGGTCAAATGTGAGAAATTCTCCAGAAAGATGTGCAAAACTTTTAAAAGCAGTCATATTTTAAGCAGTAGAATGAATTACCACAGCATTCTTAAAATATTGCAGTAGAGTTAAAAAACTTAAAACAATTTCATAAGCTAAAAGAATTTAGAGTTAAAGGTAACACTTTTGTATCTTTTGTGTTCTATATTGTTTTAAGATTTATTTATTCATGTTTTATACATATGGGCATTTCCCCAACCAAGTGCATGAATGCCTGTAGAAGCCAGAATCCCCTGGAAATGGAGCAACAGAAGGTCATTAACCATTATGTAGGTGCTGGAAATCAAACCCAGGTTCTCTGGAAGATCAGCCAGCACTCAACCCTGGGCCAGCTGCCCAGTCCCTGTACTCTGATCTTCACCATTTTGTTCACAGCATCTCTCAGAGAAAAAAAGTACCATATACCACAGGGGATTGGAAAGACAGCAAAGCAGCTAAGAGCCTCCTACTGCTCTAGTGGAAGACCTCAGGTCTGTCCCCGACATCCACATCAGATAGCTCTAACTGCCTGTAACCACAGCTACAGGTCTGACCCCTTCTTCTGACTCAGTGGCCACCTCCACTCAAATGCACACACTGCTATACACACACACACACACACACACACACACACACACACACACACACACACAATTTAAAAGAAAGCAGGTGCGGAGAGATGACTCAGCACTTAAAAGCACACATGGCTCTTCTAGTAGGCTTGTGTTTGGTCCTCAGCACCCATGTCGGGCAGCTATAAGCTGCCTATAACTAACTCCAGCTCCAGAGATCTGACAACCTCTTCTGTCCTCCAAGGAGACACACACTGCATACAGATACACAGACATGTGCAAGAAAAAAAAAAAAAAAAGACAGAAATAAAATTTTTTTTTTTAATTTTATTTTATCTGCATTGGTGTTTTATCAGGTTCCCTCGAAGGGGAATAACAGACAGTTTTAAGCTGCCATGTGGGGGCTGAGAACTGAACCCAGGTCCACTGGAAGAGCATCCTCTGGAAGAACAATCAGTGCTCTCAACCACAAAGCCATTCCTCCAGCCCCGAAAAATAAAATCTTAAGAAAACTAACATACATAAATTTTTTAAAAAGTATACTCTTGCTTTTTTGTTTATAGCTTTGAGTTTCATTCATCATATTAATATGTATAATTCTAATAATCTATCACTTACAAAATCCATAGAGTATGAATCATAAAAGTGTGGTGATATTTTGTATGTGCTCTAACAAATAAAGTTTGTCTGGAGATCAGAGGGCAGAGCCAGCCACAGAGTTAGCCATAGAGGTTAGGCAGTGGTGGCACACACCTTTAATCCTAGCACTCAGGAGGCAGAGGCAGATGGATCTCTGTGAGTTCAAGGCCACCCTGGATTATACTGAATTACACACTGGATTAATCCAGTCTAAAAGAGAAACAGAGCCAGGCAGTAATGGCTCACATCTTTAACCCAGTATTGGGAGTCACATGCCTTTAGTCCCAGCACTAGGGAGGTTGAGACAGGACATGATATGGCTGAGCAGAGAAAGGAATATAAGGCTGGTGGAGACAGGACTCAGGGGCTTTCATTCTGAGGATCTATGGAGACAGGATCTTCCTCTTTCAGCTGAGGAGTTGGTGAGGTAAGAAGTGCCTGTGGCTTGTTTCCTCTGATCTTTCAGCATTTACCCTGATATCTGGCTCTGGGTTTTTATGATAAGACCAATTAGGATTCGTGCTACATAAAAGTTCTTAATATCCACTGGTGCATGTCTTTGCTAACAGAACAGCAATTTTTGTGAGGATAGCCATGTATAGAGAGCCAAAAATGGATGATGACTTGTATAAACACACCAGGACACTGCTGCTCTTACTTCTTCCGTCTTCTGTAGAGTTAGAGGTGCTGGAACTAAGACTGGGTCCTGAGGAGTAAGACTGAAGGGCACAGACACACTTGTAATAAAGAGAACAGATACGCCCTACATCACTCTTCTCTCTGCCTCAACAAAGAAAACGAGAGTTGGGGATTTAGCTCAGTGGTTGAGTGCTTGCCTAGCAAGCGTAAAGCTCTGGGTTCGGTCCTCAGCTCCAGAAAAAAAAAAAAGAAAGAAAGAAAGAAAATGAAAAACATAAAAAATTCCTCTACTGCCAAAATAACACTGAGCAGATCAACATCAGCAGCTGTCTGCTTCCAGGAATGTCAGTCATTGGTTAAGCCTTCACGGTCAGTTGAGTTTTCCAGTTCTACCAACCCAAAGCATCAGCAGACACTGAACATGAGCCACAGCCAAGTCCCAGCTCTACTTCCATCTAGCCCTGAGCAAGTGAATTAGTTTAAACCACAGCTTCCTTCCTAAAAATATGGATGCACCAGATAATTCTTATGGGAGCATGGTTAAGTTTAAAGGAGACAATACCAAAAAAGCTGTCAGTATGCCAATAGTAACATAAAATTTAAAAATGTTGCTATTATTTCGTAGGTTGTATATTTTAAGCTGAAAGCTTAAGAAAGACAGATCCTTCTGCACAAAGGGCTTCTACAACTTTTAAATTCAGTAAATTGAATCTGCATTTCAAGTAAGACTCAAAGAAGAAGCAAAACATCTATAAAAGAGGATATTCTGGCCGGGCGGTGGTGGCGCACGCCTTTAATCCCAGCACTCGGGAGGCAGAGCCAGGCGGATCTCTGTGAGTTCGAGGCCAGCCTGGGCTACCAAGTGAGTCCCAGGAAAGGCGCAAAGCTACACAGAGAAACCCTGTCTCGAAAAACCAAAAAAAAAAAGAGGATATTCTTAAAAATGTTTATTTCTCAAAGACCAGTTCTTATTAGATAGCATTTCTTATCAATTTTGTTTTCTTCCACAAATCATATATAGAACAATTCTAGAAATGTCTGCATTGGCGGCTGGCGAGATGGCTCAGTGGTAATGGCCCAAGAACCTGAGTAGGATTGCTGAAACTCACATAGTGGAAGGATCAGACTGACTCTCATAAATTGTCCTCTGGTTCCCACACTCATGCTAACACACACACAATAATAATCATAATAATAATAACTATAATGAAAACTTAAGTCTTACTTGGCTGAGGTTCTCCGTCTACTGTACGGTTTGTCTGTCCTCCACTGATTTCAGGTAATCTAATTGGGCTGCTACTCTTCGGTCTGTTATCTAAAGCACTACCATGAAAACAAAGAAGAAAAATATTTGAAGATATTCAGCTAGAAAAAGAGCAAGTATCCTAATTCCTAAATTAATATATTTCTTATCTAACACCACCCACAATACCAGAAATCTGATTTATAATTTTGATAAACACAAGTTACAAAAACTCTTGAAATATCTACTAGATTTAAAAAAAATTAAATACTAGAACTAGAAAAGTATACAAAAATGTGCAAAACAATAGACTTTTATAAAATTTTCCGAAACACTGTTAGGACTATAAATCAATTACAGAAAAACATCCATCTCATTTTTCTTACTTTAGTCACAAAGATAATTCAAACTAAATTTTATTAAGTCAGTAAAACAGGAGAATTTATTTCAGTAAGGATAAGCCTATGCCAATCTCCGTCTAAAACACAGAACATGCTAAGTGGATTGATTTGAGTATTTATTTTCTAAATATTAGGTTCTTTAGTACTATGGAAACTTTACAAACACTTAAAATTATAAAGCCAAGCAGTAGCACAACTAACTTTACAGGTTACTGGTTTTGTTTTGTTTTTAAATAAAACAGCTGTTTCTTTCTATCATTAAAACAATGGCAAGTTTTAATCTGTAGCACACAATGACACATCACAGCAAATGTCAGAAACTATATCCTACAGGCTAAGTAAGGTCTTTACAAGACTTGAATTCTGTTGCTCCAAGGTTAGCTGAAATGAATTATGTAAATCCTAGAAGAGTCTGTGCTAACATCTGCTATCATAGAACCAAAGTCCAAGGACATAGAAAAGGATGACACAGCTCCATTTAAAAAGATTGTACTCGATCATTAGTCACCTATTTGTTGGAAGCCCTTCTTCAGCACTGCTCCACAGAGTTGCTTTGGACAATTCCTCTAAGGCATTTCGGTATTCTTTACAACTTGGGGCAGAAATAGGTTGAAAAATGTTAAATATTAAGCTCTTCTTTAACAATAAATCCTAAGTTTTCAAATAAGTTTTGCATTAGAAAAGCATAATCATGGTAAGTGTCCATAACTAAACAAATACACTAGGAATAACAAAAGTGATCAAGCCTTATGAAGAAGATTAATGTCTTCACAAAGAATTAACTCACCAACTCATCAACTCTATCCACTAATCTTAACAATGACCCAAAGCATTGTTAAGGGCTAGGATGTAGCACAGCGGGGGAGCTCTTGCTCTAAAGGCCCTGGGTTCAATGGCCATCAGCAATCCCCACACAACCTCCCCCAAAAAAGCCTAGCTACAACTATCTGGATCAAATGAACAGAAGTTAAAAGAAGAAACACTCAGACTTAGTACAACAGAGAATAACAAAATGTGAAGTGACTTTCTATCTAAAGGAGCTACACTTTTTTTTAAACAACATTCCAAAAGTTTAAAAACCTGATTCTTGGATTAGTAGCATGGTATGCATTACTGTTCTAAAAGATTAAAAAATGAACTCAGATAGAATACTTGCTTCCTAATACTATGAAGAATGGTTATATTTTTGTGCCTTTGATATCTAGTGATAACCTGTGATTAATCAATAAGGTAAGAAGCAAGTATTATCTTCATAATGCTAAAGCACAAAGAAAAAAATCATTATATAGACTCGTATAAAGTGAAAAAAATGCTGATTATTGAAAGTAAACTCTAAATTCCATGAAGGTAGAAGCACATACAACTATACTGTTTACTCTGATATATCCAATATCTGTATACCACATTTTGTTTATAACCAAATATTTTTCAATAAATGGGACACTTTGTAATCAATATACAAAAAGATTTTTTTTTATTTTTATACTTTAAAAGGAAAATTTTAGTTAAGCACCTCAGATGCTATTTAAATTAAATTTACTCACTGCCAATATAATTTTATGAATGAGATTCTGAGGTTTTTAGATATTAGATATAAGTATTTTAAAGGTGCAATGCTTCTTTAAGATAAATAGTAACTCTATAAGTTACACATTCAAACATGTCTTTGGAACAAGGAGCAGGAATAGCATTCTCTAGGCAGAGAGATTTCAGCCAGTATGTGTGTGGAGTAGGATGGGAATAATATTCAGATATTGGAAAATGGGTATGTTTCACTGTTATGTTAACAACTAAACCACAGTAAGAGTTACCAGGGGTATAAATTAGACAGCGTGGTCAGAATATTCAAGGGTTAGTAAATACCATGCCAAGTCACATTAGTTACTAAGTACTTGCTTAGAAGCCATGCCATATCCCATTATTTGATTAAAGGTTTTCAAATACAAGAAAACCCCATCATGACTAAAGAACATATATTTTTGCTTGTATTTAATCATCTTTCTTTATTCTATTAGAAAGAGCCCCTAAATAGGGTAATTAATAGACAAGACTTAAAAACACAGAGCTGTAACTACAGGAAAAGCTTATAATACCTGAGTGCAAAAGCAATGATGGAGCTGGGCTCTTTCTCACAGACAGCAATGGGCACCCGTTCGTGTTCATACATTAAATAGTGTTTATCTGGATCACTGCTCAATAGGGTAGAATATAATTACAAGTCAAATATAAAATCAATTAACACAGTACAACCAAATCTCAGGACAATTTTAAGGTAACTATAGATTGAGCAATATAAACATAATTCAGAAAGCCAAAATGCATGGAAATGCTGAGAAACTGAATCAACTAAACAACAGCAATACAAAGAATTAGTATATAAACCAACTGGAAAGCTGTCAGAACTAGGTTTGGGGCTGGAGAGACGACGCAGCAGTTAAGAGCACTAGGACCAGGGCTTGAGTCCTGGCACCAGCATGGCAGCTTTCCAACTGTCTGTTCCTCCAGTCTTCCAGAGGGAATCCAATGCCCTTTCTGGCCTCTCCAGGCACCAGGCACACACATGATGCACAGACATACATGCAGGCAAAACACCCATACACATAAAAAAAAAAATAAATAGGTTTCAAATAGGGTTCTAGAATAGTTACTCCAAAGCTTTACCTACTGCTGAGATCTTGGTCATACTAGTCTAAAAAAGAATATGCAATAAATAATCTAAATACAGTGTTCTAGTCTACCCCTCAGAGAAGCCTCCTAAGAGTTATGTAGAAATAGTGCTTTTAGTTCCACAGCAACAATGTAACAAAATCACTCTACTGTTACCACATGGAAACCAAGTGTTAACTCTACTTCAACCCAAATTCTGCTCCCCTAACTTCTGCTCTAACTCCACTGGGAACCATTAGGTAGAGTGACTGACTTTACTTAGATGCCATTTACCAACTATCCAACGTAGTAGAAAACAATAGTGAGAAAAACTTCCCTTTAAGTGTTTTCTGTGTGTGTGCAGGATTAACAATACACTGTGAGAACAAAGCGGGCATGCACGTTTGTAGTGGGGGCGGGTAAAGAAACAATCCTGCAAACACATACAATCACTCTCTGTGGTAAGTGCAGTAAGAGAACTGTTATGAGGAATGTTTAGCTCCTGTTCCCCAAATCCTAGGTTGAAATTCTAGCCCCAGGGTAGTGGTATTAGGAGAAAGTGCCTTTAGATCAGGAGTGAAGACACCATACACATGGTTAGTGTCCTTGACAAGAGGGACAAGTGAGCTCTCTCCACCATGAGAGGGAGGCCTGGACAAGAAACCCTCATCAGAATCTACCCTGTAACACAAGTTCGATCCCCTAGCCTCCAGAACTGTAAGAAATACATTTGTATTATTTCTAAGCACACCAAGATATGGCAATGCATTACAGACGGCTACATGAAGCCAAGAATCCTGACACACAGAGGCCTCATTTGGTTAGTACTAGGGCACAGAAGGGGCATCCAGTAAAACTGTCTCCAGAAAAGAACGGGACTTCCCAACTGAGAAAGAGGGGGAGAACTCAAAGGCTGTAAGAGGCATAGACTATTGTTCCAAATGGCACTGAAGAAACAGACATTCAGGCCTCAAGGTGACAACAAAATTAGCCTTTTATACAAGACGATCATGTGATGAATCCTACACTGTCTGAGCCTCTCTACTTGTCTCTTCCCCAAGACCATGAGCTCCTAAGAGCAATGCTCTCCACCTGGGGGCAAGGGAACAGGCACCAAATAAAAATTCAGTTACTACTGAATAAAAGCCAAGTAAATGCTCCTATTTGAATGAACTTGTACCAGCATATCAAAGTGGCATTTGATGGCCATACAGATCAACCAATAGAAAAACAAGCTTTTACAGCCATCATGCATTCCTTTGCAGTCTAAGTAAGTACAGCATTGAAAAGAAAGAAAAGAAAACATACATGCTCATTTTGCTTATCAGTATCCTGTTAAAAAGCCAGATATGACCACACATGCTTGTGACCTCTACTGCTAAGGGAGACAGAGACAAGAGGATCACTAGAGGTGGCTGGCCATCAGCTAGTGCTGGCTTCAGTGAAAGACCCTGTATACACACACAGGTATTTACTTGCATACACACACACACAAACACACACACACACACACACACACACACACACCTCACATACTGCACACATACACACATAAGCGAAAATTTAAAATAAATTCTTAAAAAGATCAATAGATGTAGCAGTATATCTTTACATAAATGTATATATGCTGTGTGTCCATTTTTATAACTAGTGCCTTTACACACTAAGCAACATTAGTTAACATTTCTTCTTCCACTGTCTACTGTATAATGATAAAACATTATGAAAATTACATGCCAAAAGCCATCTCTTTTACTAGGATGATGTAAAATTTAGAATTAAGAAACACATTTGCAGATAAACTGACCTAAATACATAGGGAATAAGTAGAGAGAGCCCGTTGGTTTTGAAATACTTACAAAGGAAATGGAATGGGATTATAGCTGTTTCCTGGAAGCAAATTAGCAAAGATGGCTTTCATGGTTGACTTTTCCTTCACCTGGCTGTCTGTGGATCCCAGCAAATGCCCATCAAATACATCTAGGATGAAAAATATTCTACTTATACATTAACATTCTGGATGAATAAAAAGTAGAAGTGTCTGTTTTATTTCTTTTTCTCTTGAGAATATCGACAGACATACTGAGCATCACAGATATAAACTATGGTTTTCATTTTCTGGCTTAAGAAAGTGGCTCTTAGAAAATGAAATGGCAACAGTGAAATGTACTCAGCATGACTCCAAGGGACATGTTTGGTTCCTTACATTTGAAACTGAGATCATCCTGTCTGTATCAGTGCTCTCTTACTGCCACAGGACCCATAAGGGAACTACGTACTGTCTGGCCATGCATGAGCTGTCCCAGTGCTGTTACTCCAACTCAGGAATACCCACTCTGGCTACTACACCTGAGCTTAGTAGCAATGGTAAAGGTGAGCCAAAGTTTAAAATTAAGCAAATACTGCTTAACAAAAAACAAGAAAAGAGAGATGCAAGGCATGGGTTTTGTTATAATGTAAATATCTGCTGAAAAAAAATGGCAAGAATATCCTTCACCTTTCAAAGCAGTATTTATACACCTCAAGAAAGAGGCCCCCCAAAGGTAGGTAACCATGAGTAATACTGTTTTACGAGGACATTTACAAACACCAGGTGACACAAAGGGATGCGTGTCAAGAAGTGCAGCTAATGGAAGGAAGGGCATGATGATAGGCTGTATTTAAAAAGGTACTTTAAAATAATGTATTATTTTTATGTGCATGAGTGTTTTGCCTGCATGTGTATATGTGCACCATATGTTTGACTGGTGTCCAAGGAGGTGTCAGAAGAGGGTGTCAAATTCCCTGAAACTGAAATTACAAACAGTTGTGAGCTGCCATGTGGGTGCTAGGAATTGAACCCGGGGTCCTCTGGAAGAGCAGCAGGTACTCTTAATCACTGAGCCATCTCTCCAGCTCCTTAAAAAAGAACTTTAAACATACACAAAATAAAAAATTCTAAAGGATAGGAAAGCTTTATATCAAAGAATTAGCCTTTTCTCTTTCAGAAACACATAAAAGCAGGAAAGCATCTCAGTCTTAGGTTCAATGAAGTAGGGTAAAAAGTGGCCCGAACCTTACCTTCAGAGCCACTGGCTGTATCGAGGTCAGAGGGCCCTCCCATCGACTGCTCGGCCAGGGCCTCAGGAGGAGTGGGCAACTGGAGATGGGTAGAGCTTGTGGAGCTCTGGCTGGACAGGGTTGTCAAGAAGCGATCCTCTAAAGAAACACAGAATTTTCAATGAGTTATTTAAAATAAGAAGTCCATTTCACCTAATACTCAACTTAATAATACTTTTTAAATGCCAAATCATATTTCTACTTCTTAAAACATGGAATTTCACCTTTTCAAAAATTATCTGGGTCATGTAATTCATGTCATAAAAATTGACATAAAAATCCAGAAAGATATGATTTGACCACAATCAAATCTTGGTGACAAAACTGTATCAATGAATTCTGACCTCTATCTGATACAATATCCTTTCCTTTATGCTACATTATCTACTTACATATTACTTGCTTAACAGAAAATGGAATTAGAACGCTGTGGGGAAAATTACATGCTATTCTGAGAGAGAGAAAAAAAACACTGTTATAATTATTATAGAAAAAGGTAAAAAACAGTAAGTTCTATTCAACAGACAGCCTATGTAAATTCCCCTCAGTGCAAGATGACACTACGTCACTGAAGAAAGAAAAATTTAGAAAACAACTTAAGGACATAATATATAGGTTAATCATGCTAAGAGAATGCTTGTACTAGAATAAGGAGGCTGAGCAACATAAGCATAAGAGAAATCAATGTCAGACTTCATTCTTTTTCTTCTACTGGCAGCCCTCACTACATTGCATACATTTCTACAACCTAATTTATGTATATAACACACTGTATGACACTCAGACCACTAAGAATTATACATGTTCTATAAGGAGGAGGAAAATGACTATGGACACGTGTATTAGAAAATAATGCTCACATCAGCAGTTAAAAGCAACTTACAGAGTAAAATCTCTTTAAATGCAAGAGCAAGAGGTCACCACACTGAAGACCAACCTTTTTCTCCATTGTGAAGTCCTGGAGAAATATTCCTTGGAGATGTGTCCATTGCACTTATCTAAAGAGAAAAAAATATGCTACTCTTAAGGGTGCATTAAAAAAAAAATTACACTTTAAAAGTAGTTGAGCCCAGTGAATATTGAAAATTTTGAACTCATAATATGTTTCCACTAAAATATTACCTCTTGAGAATTTAAAGTAGCTCTTGCCATTTTAATTAAGCAAGCCTGAATATATTCCTAAATGTGCATTTATTGGTTCACTTAGAAATAACACTGTGACAACGGGGCGGTGGTGGCACACGCCTTTAATCCCAGCACTCAGGAGGCAGAGCCAGTCGGATCTCTGTGAGTTCAAGGCCAGCCTGGTCTACATAGTGAGATCCAGGACAGGCACCAAATACTACAAAGAGAAACCCTGTCTGGAAAAACCAAAAAAAAAAAAAAAAAAAAGAAAGAAAGAAAGAAAGAGAGAGAGAGAGAAAGAAAGGACACTATTATATATAAACATAAATATAAAAACTCATTGAAGAATAAAGCTATTTTCCAAAATTAAAAAAAAAAACACTAATGAAGAGTATCGCTGCTTTACATTTTCAGAAATATCTTAGATGTATGACTAACAAGAAGACAGCTAGATTCTGTATTTGCTATACTGAGATGTATTGATACAACGCCAGTCCCGGCTTTACACAGATTTGTGGTTTATAAAGGGAAAACCTGCAGGCATGGACCCATTACTTTGAGAATATTGCTCTAAATAGTAGCTCACACCTTAGCATGGACACATCTAGGAATGCTTAGGTTTCTCTAGTAAGCCTACTCATTTCTTACTATCCATCCACTGAATCTTCTTATGTCCTATTACCCATGGACAACATTTAGTAGGACTACAAGCCCCACAGGGAATTTAGCTAAAAGTCATTTCATATATCAGTTATGACTACCATATCAGAGAGATCTTTCTGTGTAATTTACATAAAATAACCCACCACTACTAACTACTCCATCACCAAACTCTATTTTCCTTAGGGTTTTCTATAACTAAATCCTTAGGGGTTCATGTGTTTTCTATCAGTCTCTTTTTAATCAGGCAAATGTTTCATAAGATAGTAACTATGGCCTTTGTTCACATGTGAATGCCATACAACCTAGAAAAACATCTAAACAAAAATAAGTACTCAAAACTATTTATCAAAGGGCAGTACAACAGAATTTCAAGTCAATTTCCAACTTTCCAAAAGCTGATTACCTCCTGAGTAGTAGTGAATTTCTTTCTTTCTTTTTAAGATTTTTGTTGTTGTTTGTTTGTTTTATTTTGTTTTTCAAGAAAGGCTTTCTCTGTATAACAGTTCCGGCTGTCCTGGAACTCGCTCTGTAGACCAGGCTGGCCTCGAACTCACTGAGATTCGCCTGTCTCTGACTCCCAAGTGCTGGGATTAAAGGCGTGCGACACCACCGCCCCGGCTCCTTAAGATTTTTATGTGCATTGGTGTTTTTGCCTTCATGTATGTTGGTGTGAGGATGTCAGATCCTCTTGAACCAGAGTTACAGACAGCTGTGAGCTGCCATGTGGGTGCTGGGAATTGAACTTGGGTCCTCTGGAAGAGCAGTTAGTGTTCTTAACCATTGAGCCATATCTCTAGCCATTATTCTTATCTAAATATTAAGAGGAAATACAATTCCTAAACAACTGTTTAACAGGCAAAAAGAAATAGCCGTTCTATTTTCTAAAATGACTTAAATCACGTGGATCCATCATTCCATGACAACACTCCTCTACAACAGTCTGCATGATATGAAAAGGGACTCCCACCCCCACCCCTAAGACCCTGTGATGTCAGGAAACAAGGCCATTACACTAGCATCATTTCGTGCGATATCTGAGCAACATGACAGGCAGAATTCTAAAGGGCCCAGAAATGTTCAGCCCTGGTACATACACCCTTATCCCAATTACTCCAACACACAAAAATCTGAGTACTGCTGTGAAGGGATTTTGCCAATGTAACAGTGCCAAGTCGGGTGATCACAAATGAAGAGAAACCCAGATTTAAGTCCATTAAGTACATAAATCTTAAAGCTGTAAGTCAGAGATAAAGGAAGTGATCTGAAGCACAAGTGGAACTGGGCCAGTGTTGAAGGCTCTGAAGATGGAGCAGACCGCAGGGCAGAGAATGCAAGCATCAACAGCCACCAACAGAAGGTCAGTCAGTCACTCTAGGAACTGGGTCCTGTCAACAACCTGAAGGAGCTTGGAAGAAGATGCTGGTCCTCAAAAACAAGAAAAACTCTGGCCAGGCCCTTGATTTTAGCTCTGTGGGGTTCTGAATAAAGAACCCAATCATACATGCCACTATAAAATAGTAAGTCCACATTTTTGAACACTAAGTCTGTGGTACTTGGTTTTCAGAAAAAAAAAAAAAAAAAAAAAGCAATCAGTTGGGAACAGAGTCATCCAGGGCAGACACCTTAAGAGGAGCTTCTCAACCGGGCGGTGGTGGCGCACGCCTTTAATCCCAGCACTCGGGAGGCAGAGCCAGGCGGATCTCTGAGTTCGAGGCCAGCCTGGTCTCCAAAGTGAGTTCCAGGAAAGGCTCAAAGCTACACAGACAAACCCTGTCTCGAAAAACCAAAAAAAAAGAGCTTCTCCTTCAAGCACAGAGATCAAACACCCAAAACTACACAGTAAGAAAAATGGGGCCTGAGAGAGGGCTCAGCAGTTAAGGGCAACTGCTGCTCTTCCACAAGACTGAAGTTTGCTTAGCAGCACCCACATGGCAGCTCACAACCATCTATAACTCCAATTCCAGGGGATCCGATGCCCTCTTCTTGCTCTGTGGGCTCTAGGCACACATGAGGTGCATACACATACATGCAGGCAAAATACTCAGGCACATAAAGTAAAAGTAAACAAATATTTTTTTTTAAAGGAAGGAAAATGAGAACTCTGTTATACACTCTGAGAACCTACAGGTTTCCTCTGTAATATTCTCAATGGTATATCGGGGCAGTCGCCTTTTGACAAATACTTCAAACAAATTAATCCTAACACATGATTTTAATTGAGGTTAGAATATAAAAGTAATCCAGATCCTTTCCCCTGAAAACGTTATGCATTAAACTCCCTCTCCTCGTGTTAGAAATGGAGCTAACCATAGCTTTATCAGTGAGACAGTACAGACAGTGCTACACTTGATTACCTTGCTTTCCTCTCCTTGTCTCAGTCTCCCAGGACTGGGAGGAACCGAAGGCCTCTTTCTACCTTTTTCCTGCTGGAAAAGGTCCTGCAACCTACGGTCATAGGCAAAAAGGACACAGATTTGTTTCCAGTACCTTAAATTATACTTACACACTTTTTCTTGTAATAGACTGTAAAGCTGTATGTAGCCATTACTGAATTCTTATGATAGCCAATCATGTTTCATGGCACAATGATCCAATTCAATCTCACTCAGCAGCACACACATTTGAAACAGCAAACGGGGCTGTTTCCTCTTTAGTTTTTTGTTTGTTTATTTTTATCTTAACAAACTATGTAAAGTGTACAATATGTTTTAAAGGATGAAGAGAACAAAAGCCAAAAAAGTCTTTATAACTAAGAAAATAAACATCTATAATTAATAAAGATCTTTAGATTTAAACTACTGTGACTGGGAATTTAGCAGAGCGGTAAGGCCAGAGCCAGGAAGCAAAGTCTGAGAACTCCACAGACACACTCGGCAGCAGTGCCGAGGAGACCCGCCGCAGACACACCTGCTGTTCCACGCTTGCAGCACCTCACAGAGACTTTGCTTCTTGGCAATGAGCGACTCAAAGACGGACTGCAGTTGCTGAGGGGTATCCACAGAGGAGGACAGGAGTCTGGCTTGCATCTTCTCAGTCCAGTTCTTGAACTCACCCTCCTCCATCTGGAAGGCAGCAGGTCCAAGTTCAGTAAGCTGAGACACCACAGAGACAAAGGGATTTCTAAGGAGTCAGCAACTTCTGAGTTTCTATAACAGAAACAAATTACCTCTTTTTGTGCAAAGATATCTTCCATTTTTTCTTCTCTTGTTTTGCTAAATGTATCCGTTTTCAAGGATGCAAGTCTTTCATCAACAGCTAGGTATACCTGTGAAACTCTAAAAATGGGGAGAGTATCACATGTCAGAGGCCCTGAAATCAAACCACCTCACAGAAATGAGTGGAAAGGGTATTTTATATAAAACTATAGCTAAAACGAGATATCTTATCAAAAATCACATGGAAATTTGCAAAGTAAAACAAGGCCTCAAAGAATTTACTTCAAAATTTTAAGTTGTTAGTTATGTTTTGGAGATATTTTCCTGTATTATTTGAACTTTTCCTTCTCACACTGAGCACACACTATATATAATTAGAAAAGCAAAGTTACTCATATTTCAAAAGAGAGTTAAATGAGTAAACCTGATAACTAAATCAGCACTGGGTTACAAACATGACAGTAAGCAAACATGGATGACCAAAGACGCTGAACCTACTTCTGAAAAAAGTCCTTGAGGTCCTGGAGAAGGGACACTTTCAATGGGGCTTGACGCTTGATGAATATTTTTGGTAGTGGAACACATACCTCAAGAAGTCGAATAGGAGAGTAGCTGAGGGAAAAAAACAGTAACAGGAGAAAATGAAAAATATTTTAGTCATTTATACAGAGCATATACATAAATATTCACATCATCAATTAAATTCTAATGAGCATAAGAGAAAAATAAAGTTTTCTATAAAACCAAGTTTCATAAAGACAAAAAATAGTAATAATAACTTTCAACCACCAGAAATCTCTTCCCAATATCGAGAGGATTTTGTTCTATCCTTGCACTATAACGTCATTATTTCTCCCCTCTGCTAGGCCTTCTGCTCTAAAACCAGCAATGACTTTAACGGGAACTTTCTCTGTAGCTCTGAAGAGACTTACTCAAGGTTTATCACCTTCCAGCTCTTAGGGTTCCTCATGAGTCTTCACTTCCTTTCTACCCAAGGCAGTGACTAGTAAATGCTACTCCCAACCTATACCCTGTGTTTATGATTCAAAGCCCTTGCTTTAAAAAGGAAGTAAATTCTAATTAATAAATATTTCATGAATATATTGTGTCCGAGATGCTGTTATAAGTGCCAAGAAAATAGCACCGAAATTCTTGCCCTCTTAACTCTAGAATAATGAGATGTGGGTAACAAACAAAATATAAATATGTAAGATGTTTTTCTCAGAGCACTACAGAAAAAAATAATCTATAAGAATGAAGGAGGGAGTACTAGGCAGGTCAATGTGACTAGAGAGCTACGGGAAGTAAGGAAACACAGGGGAGTGTCTGAGGAACACAAGCTGAGAGAAGGAAGGGTAAGGACAAGGCTCCCAGGCAGGCATCTACGTGACAGAGCAGAGGACAGCCCTGAGCCAGTGAGACCTCAGCAGAGCGACTGGGAGCAGCAGGAGCGGAGAACACTTGCTCTGGGCCACCAATGGATCCTGCCTTCTACTCGGCAAAGCACGCCATGTGCAATGTTAGAGCAGAGCCGTGACCAGCTGATTTTCCTTTAATAGGATCACTTCGGACTGCTGCCCTGAGCTGGGAGCAGGCTACAGGAACAAGACTGAGGGAATCTGCCCAGCACCACTGCAATAACTTCTGCTAAAACAAAAGAGGCTTAGCCACAGTGGCAGTGCTGAGGGTGGCAAAGCGTTCAAGGTCGTAGAAAGTTCTGACAGCAGAGCCTAAAGGCATTCTCACATTTGATACTGCAATGGTTTACTCCTTGAACTTTAGCTTTGCTGGAATTTTAGTTTGGTCAGAAGTATCTTAGGATCTTCATGGTAAATAATATCCTGGTAAAAATTCTCAGACTTTCAGATGCCAAAACAATAGTCAAGAGTGAATCAGGAAACAGAATATCAAGCAGTGTTTAAACTGTGATTCCCACCATTTGTCAGCTCTATAGGTAAAATATACAAGATTATTATCCTTGCTCTTAGAGTACAGCCCTTTCCATTTGCAGGGTTAGAGACAAGGCCAAATTTAACCCAATAGTGGAACTGTTCCATCTATAAGGAATGTGATAATGTAAAGATCCCTCTGCCTTCTCACCTGAAAGATGCCACCATCTGGTTATAAGAGAAATACTGGTGATAATCATGGTGGATAGAGTGACCACACGGCTCAGCATTGGCTCTGCGTGTGTACTGGTGCCCATAAAACCGAAGTTCAAGGTACTTTGCAAATGACATAGACCAGGATTCATTTGAAAGAGCAACAACTGGTGTTACCTGTTCAGAAAAAAATATTATTATATAATTAATAATAATAATAAATTACATACTGAAAATCTCATTTTTGAAAGATATATTTTCTATTTTCCAAGACAAACAACATATTCTAAATGGGGGGTGGCGTGACAACACGACAAAATATTCAAAATAATTTGAGCTGGGAGGATAGCTCTAATAATCCCTCAATGGCCACGGGGTATGGCCACATACTTAACTAGCCCCACTGACAGACATTTGAGATAGATAGGTCTTCCTTATTTGCATGATGCTCTGCTGAACATCCTTATAAACACACTCAGAAATAGACATAATTATTCCTTTAGAATAAATCAGTAAAGGTGGGCAATGACGGATCAAAGGACAATGGTCTTTTTGCCAAACTTCCTTCCAAATCAGGTATATTCATTTACACACTTTGAACAACAGTACTGAGAATACCAATTATCTCACTTTCCTACCAATCCTACAAATTATTCATCTTTGAAATGTCATTTCTTTTTGTTTAAGAAGGCATTTTACTTATTTCATTTATATTTGGCTTCATTTATGCTTCAACTAAGTTAATGAATAAAATTTATTTGCATATTTACTGGCTATTTGTATTAAATTGCTTTGTCATGCTCTTTGCCCACTTTTTCTATTACTGTGGCTTACAAAATGTAACATTAAATTTTTCCTATACTAGAAGCTTTTCTTCTGTGTGTATATTAATAAAAACTCTTTTCCTTTCTAGCATAACCCCATAAAACTAAAAAAAAAAAAAAAAAAAAACCACCACAACAACAAAAACTTAGATGCATTTTACAAGGGTTGCCTAAAATCACCAGAAAATACAGATAGTTATATTACAATTCATAACAGTAGCAAACTGTTATGAAGTAGCAGCAAAAGTAATTTTATGGATGGAAGTCACCACAACATGAGGAACTGTATTAGAGGGTTGCAGCATTAGGAAGGTTAAGAACCACGAATCTACCAGCATTTTAGACCAGGATCTAAAGGTCTATGGATTTGAGGATGAGGCTGGGACCTAGCTTAATGGTAAAGCACTTGCCTAGCATGTATAGCCTGATCTCCACTAACAGATGCAAGAAAGTATGGAAGACTTGATCATTACTGCGGAATCACTGCAGGCCGTAGGCTCCCAGCTCATAAAGTAAACTAATGTCACCATTCTCAAGTGCTATACTAACAGACAACTACTATTTTACCTACAGTTCTCATAAATGTTTTCTAAGCACACTCCAAAATACATCAAGCTAATAATGAAGGCAATTTGGATATATATTTGCTACAATTTCAATGAATAGTATATATTTAAAATGTTATAGGGCCTGCAGAGATGGCTCAGCAGTTAAGAGGACTGGCTGCTCTTCCAGGGAATCCAGGTTTGATCCCACACAGTGTCTCACAACCATTGTAACTACATTTTCCGATCTTCTTGGGAACTATGCACATATATGATAGACAAACACGGATGCATATAAAATAAAAGTAAATTAAAACAACCAACATACACACACAATTACAACTGGGGCTGGAGAGAACACTTGCAGCTCTTGGAGAGGACCCAGGTTCAACTCCCACATTAGCACATTAGGTGGCTAACAACCATCTGTAAGTCCACTTCTGGGGGATCTGAAGCTCTCATTTAGCCTAGTCCGGTTGCACACACAGTGCACATACATCAAGTTGTGCACACACATACACACATAAAATTAAAAATAAATCTTAAACCTAAACCTATGCCGCTTCTCCAAAATGGATTGAATCCATTTAATAAAAAAACAAGCAAAAAAAAAAATCACAATACTGACATCAAATAATTCCCCCAGAGTTTGAAAAGACGGTTCAAAGAAATTAAATATATACATAAAGCCAGTATAGGCCATTGTCAACAAAGCCTCATCTAAATTTTTTTAGAAGAGTTGTTAATATAGGCTCAGATTTGCTAGGGAAATAGCCTAATACACTGCAGTTACTGCTTTGTAAGTCTGTCTCCTTCTCTACAAGTCATACTTTATTCTCTTGCTATTCCTAAGGTGCAGCAGTATCTAGAACACAGATGGAATTAAGTATATGCAGAATTAACAAACATAACTGAAAATTATCAAAATATAATTACTGGAAAGGCATACATATATCATTATTTAATTACATATATATTCTTCTTTTTCTGTTTGTTTTTGTTTGGGAGGTGTTTGTTTGTTTGTTTTTTGTTTTTCCGAGACAGGGTTCTCTGTATAGCCCTGGCTATCCTGGAACTAGCTCTGTGTACCAGGCTGGCCTTGAACTCAAAGATCCACCTGCTTCTGTCCCCAAAGTGCTGGGATTAAAGGTGTGTGCCACTACTACCTGGCTAATGACATACATACTTTAAGTGAAGTTTTATAAACTATTAGGTTAAACATACAGCATAAGAAGGGATATAAATAAGATTGCAATGACAGATAACAAAGTTCAAAATACTATTAATTATATATCCCCCAAAGCACTATACAAATGGAAGTGTCACATGAAATATTCCATACTTGTTTGCAGATTCTGCACCAGGAATATGTGAGAATTGTATGTTGATATCCAGGCACTGGAGAATCCAGCTCCTTCAGGATTATCTGCACACAGCCTTGGCCATGAACAAAGCGTCGAATGTGATGCACCATGGGGGTATCACAGAACATGCTAGGACACTGGTAAGACGACCTGCGATAAATGAGAGAATCCTTCACATACTAAGCAGGAAACAGAGGGCCACACATAGCAAGCACTGAATAATCAGAGCCTTGACCAAGGAAGTGACACACCACCTCTAAGTAATGATCAACAGTGGACAATCTGAACAGGACACATGGAGCTCTGACCTGGAGCTGAACATTATGTCTTAGACTGAAGCATAGTACAGTTTCTATTTGTCAAACACCTTCTAATGTCCAATTTCTAACAACAGTCAAATCCAGACATTTCTAAGGACTATACTCCCGGTGGGTGAGGCTGGTAACATTAAATTACTTGAGCAGTGCTGTGTACCTTAACTAGTAATAGCAACAAAACTCAAACTGATGTTGAGCTGGTCCCAAGCCTTCCCTGCTTTTCACTAGACTCACTGTAGAAGTACACATACTAAAAAAGTCTTGGCGTGGCACAGGAGCTGGACAGGCAAAGATACAAAAACTACCTGAGACAAGAGCTCCCAGCTGAGTCACTGTAAGATATGCTCTGGCATGTGGTGTAAAAGTGAGAACCATCAACAACACTTGATTTCAACTCACACGTTTTAGTTTAAAATTATGGGCTTCAAAAATGAGTAATAATTAATCCCAGCACTTGGGAGACAGAGGCAGGCAGATCTCAAGGTTTCAGGACAGCCTAGTCTACATAGTGAGTTCCAGGACAACCAGGACTATAGAGACCTTGTCTCAATTAAACAAACAAGCAAATCAAAGCATAATAAATCATAAGGAATAAATAAGCTTTTACCTGAAACAGTATCTTTCTAAAAATATTCCCAGTGTGAGATCATTCTTTCCATAAAATTCCATTGTTACAATCCTAAAAGAAGAGATCATTTCTTAGAAGAAATATGTCAACATTACCACCAAGACCATATTCTAATTATTAAATATGCTCATAATGAAGTAACAAGGCAAATCACACATGTTGTTGCTATAGAACAGGTTTTACTTTTCAACTTGTCAAACAAGTATAGACAAGCCCCACTATAGCATCTTTCCCACTCCCAATCCATTAGTATCTTAAGCAGTCATTTCATGAGAATGCATAAACTGTAAAAATCAACTGAATAAAACTGATTTGCATTAGGAAGGCAAAATCACCTTTCAGTCATAATCCCCGTCAACATGAGGGGGATGACAGTGTCCATCTGCCCTCTAGTTCCTATCTTCACCGGATATGGAGAAGAACAGCTCTCATTCTTGACAAGAAGCCAACTCCTAACTCACAACTGCCCAAAATTAGACTTTGCATGTATGCTTGTTGAAACCAGTATCCCATTCCAGAATTACCTAAGGAGTCCATTAAATTCTGAGAAAAAAAGTCCTATGGGCTTTCAAAAAGTCAGGCTTAAAGCTGTCCTGGAATTATACAAGTTTCTAGAAAAATCTTTCCATTGGAAATAAGTTTTATCATGAAAGCAAAGCTATCAAAAGCAAAAAAGCTGTCGATGTGCACATACAGAGGAGTGGAGGACAGGCTTCTGGGGTGCCTGTGACCATGTCCGCTGCTTTGGGAAGACCCTCCACTGTGTGGCACCATTCCCTGCCCACATTGCATGAGAAAGGCAGTGAAGCAGAGCACTAACACTTCTCAGCCTTCTCTGCTCTCTTCTCCTGACTTAATGCGATCAGTCACTTCAAGCTGCAGCTGCTCTGTCTTTCTCTGCCATGCAGGTCAGTAGCCTTACACTGTGCGCCAAATAAACCCTTTCTCCTTAAGTTGCTTTTAACAGAGAATTTTTTAACACAGAAACAACAACAACAACAACAAAAAAAAAAAAAAAAAAAAAAAACAACCAAGTACGTAAAGTTTTTGTGACTATCTGGAAACATTACAACATTATAAAATGTATTTGTCTCTATAAATTTACTTCCAAAAAGAGTGTACTAAAGAGACAAAAGGCTGGTATGCAGTATAGCTCAGTAACAAAACCACAAACAGTAAGATAAAAGGCTGACTGTTTTTATGAAATTTATGCAAAAAGAAAACTCGCCTAAATTGCACATGGTATAATCAAAATGCAGCTTTTCGTTTTTATAAACCAGTTTTTGTGGGTCAACTTTTTAACTTTTGTAATATAAAAATTCCTCTTTTTCTCTCTCAGACTTTTTTCACTCTGACTTAACATGAACAAAGAAATTTCAGTTACTTCTTAGGTTTAAACATTCTATTGATTCGTATGTGAGTGTCAAGGCGCCATGTATCTAAAAGCAGGCATTGTTTTTACGCTGTGGGAGCCGGGTTCCCGGTGCAACAGGGAGGGAGCCGCGTCCTACCAGGGGCTGACACAGGCACTGGGGGCGTTGCTGGACTGGGCAGAGGAGCTGCTGAAGAGCACACAGAGCCTCTGGTGGTTCGCAGGGTTCAGACAGTCCACCTGCAGGACGAGGAACAGAGGAGCACATGAGTGGAACACAGCGCCTGCCCGTTCACTGACACAGAACACGTCCCACTGTTAGTAAAGCCTCCTGTCATCAATACTGGGTGACTGTGAGGATTTAAAACTACAAAAGACTAAATATAACAACAGCTGGGTTTTGACCAAAGACAATTTCAAAACTCTATGGTAAACGTGAAAGCATAAAATAACTGGGCTGGGCTGGAACTGTAACATCAGTGAGGCCTCGATCAATACCAACACTATGTTTGAAAGAGGAAGAGGACTAAAAAGCTTGTTTCTTAACCTAAACGCTGCAGTTTTTTTGAAATTGTATTATATTTTAGAAGAACAAATTCACTAAAATATATTTCTATGGAACAATATGACCTGACAGATGGATATGGCCTCAATCAAGGGTGCCTAGAACTCAAAATCCTAAGGTATGTTTTTACCTCTGCTTTTTCCTGTCTTTAAATACCGACCTGTTCTCTGTTAAAATTCAAGGAGTAGAGGCTCATAAGTATAGTTCCTCCTTCTTAGATGCCACCTACCAACAAACTAGGTAGTCTGTAAAACTAAACAGTCACTTAGACCATGGTGGCACATGGCAATCCCAGCACTTGGGAGGCAGAGTCAAGAGATCAGAAGTTTAACATCTTCCTCAACTGGATCTGGGGTTTGTTCACATTTACATACATGCAAATCACACATGTACATACACACACATAAATACACAGTGATTTGTTTTCATTAAAATGAGATATGTTATAAAAATATATTAATATAACTTGCTTTTCTTTGAGGATATGCTAAAATATAACCATAGTGCTTTATTCTAATACAGCAAAAGTTTAAAGTTGCATTAAAAAAAAAAATCATTTGTTCAAAACCCATCCTTTGATAAGGGTTGAATATGAATGATGCCCCTGGCCAAGTATCCTGTATTTAAGGTTTGTTCCTCAAGTGGAAAGCTATGTTGGACATGCTAGAAACTAGAAGGTAGGTCCTCCATGGAGGAAATAGGTCACTGGAGGTGTGTCCTTGAAGGCTGTGTATCATCCCAGGTCCTTCTATTTCTCTCTGCTTCCCGTCTGTTGTGAAGTGAATAACCTCTGCCATGTACTCTAGTGATATGAATAAAAGAGTCAAGAGTATGGACCAAAACCTATGAAATCACAAGCTAAAATAAACCCCCTCAAACTGTTTAGTGCCAGGTATTTGTCATATCTGCAAAACATAATGTAATCCTTTTAACTACAAAAAAAAAAATGGATATATTTACATATATTACAACAAGCAAGCAACCTCACACAGACGTACTTAATTCATTCTGCAGGAATAGAGAAGTTGGAATCCTGAGTCAAGGGTGACAAACATGCATTTAAAGTAGGAGAGACCTCCTTATCACTTTCTATACATTTAGACAAAGCATTCAAAAGTTCTTGAATCTCATTAGCCATGGTTCTTTTTGTGGGTCTCAAAAACAATTGTTTAGCACCACCACTTAGCACTTCCTTGACTATCAGTGAAACTAGATATCTTTTTATTACAGAATTGCATTATATCTAATGATAGATTTCTTCACTAGTTTCACTGTTAGTAATGTATCTATCCACAAGTAAATCTTCTTTAAACAGCTTTAATTTCTAATTAAACAAAAAAGAGCATAGTTAAATGACAATATAAAATTTTTACTGTTAAATACACAATACACACACACACACACACTTTCTTAAAACAGGTCTATTTTCAATAATAAATTTCCATCTCTCACAATGACTATCAATCAAAACAACAGAGCTAGCTGTGGTGGTACAGAGGTATCTATAATCATAGCACTACAGAGGTACAGGCGAGAGGGCTGTGAACTCAGAGTCAGCCAGGACCACATAACGAGACCTGCGAATATCAGCTTTAGCTGCCACCTTGACACAATTTACAATCAACTAGGAAGAAGAGTCTCAAGGAAGGATTATATACACTGGGTTGGAATGAGGGCACATCTGAGTGATTGTCCTAAGTTAAAATGTGGGAAGACCCAGTCCACTGTGGGTGGCACCATTTCCTAGTAAAAGGTCCTAAACTGTTAAGAATGGAGTAATAGAACTGAGCACAACAAGCAAGCAGCATATATGCATTTCTTCTCTTTGTTCTTGACTGTGGTTGTGCTATCAGAAGTTGCTTCAAGTCCCTGCTGCCTTGACTTCACCTTACTTATGGGCTGTAACCTGGAATTACAAGCTAAATAAACTCTTCCGTAAGTTGCCTTTTTTTTTCAGGTATTTGATCACAGCAACAACAAAAAATGAAACTAAAGACCTATCTTAGAACGCTGAAAAAAGTCAAGAGCTGCATCACACATAAGCAATACAGATAGAACTGCCTACTTTCCCTTAACTCAGGCCCTTCCTACTCTACTACAAGTGCATATTGAAATCAAAAATCCTAGTCTTATTACCTTATGAATCCACTTTTGTACTTCGTACATAAATGTCATCAGACTCAAGAAGAAAAAAAAAAAGAGTAAATACTTAATAAACATATGCAATTTATTATACTGATTTTTCAAATCTTGCTTCAGTAATTTTTCAACACATAAAAAATTCTAAACTTACACAAACACTCCAGAGTGACATCTTACCTTCGTTGACCATAAGGCATCACTTGGAATCAACCCCCTCTCTTCATCACATTCCGTTTTGTTTCCCGATTTGCCACTTAAAGTACACGATGCATCTTTTGAATGGACGAAAGGGTCCAAATGTTTTGACTGAATTCTTCCTCCTCTAGCTCGATAATCAGCCAGCATTCTACCCAAGCTCTGGCTGTCACCCAGATGTTCAGCAATCCGGGTGCTCACTAGCTCATGTGAGGGTAAAACTTGAATAGACTTGGCCTGAACACTGCCATTCATGCCCTGAAGTCCAGAGAGATCTCTGAGCAGCTGTTTCTTCCTCCTCATCTCCATTTCCTTCACCTCTTTATTGAGGAGAGGAGACCAGTAAATCTGCTCTGGAAAATAATCCCGAGTTGAGCACCTCATCCCCTTTTCAGTTAAAAGGAAGGGTTCCCGGAACGTAATAACTGGAGAGATGCAGAGGATCACATCTTTTAATTCCTGTTTAAATGTGAGAGAGTAAGTCTTTCGTGTATCTTCCGAGGAGGTGACTTCCTCAGTAACGTACATTCCAGTGTCGTCCTGTAGAGGGTCTCTGAAGGCTCTCATCTGGCTCTTGGGATCCTGCTGCTCCTCTGTTTGCTGCAATGGCTCTGGCTCTTCATTTCCTACAGCATCCTGTTGATCCATATGAAGAGGCAACAACGATTCAGGTACCAATGCAAAGAGAGCACACGGAATACCTGCTGGGCACGTGGGTGTCGTATAATCTTGATGCTTCAAAGAGGCAACCGCCTGGGTAACACTTTTACTGTCCGGCTCACCCTTTTCAAGCACAGTCCTTGATTCCAACAAAGTGCTATCATCAGAAGACAGAGAGTCAGGAGGGCACTCTGGGTCCTGGGGCAGAGAGCTGCCACCGAACTGCTCCTGAGGCCCTCCCTCATCCCCACGTCCCTCAGTCAGAGAATGGAATGAAGGGCTTTGCATTAATGTTGGAGGCATAGCAAATTCATCCATGAGAAAGGAGATCTCCAGTTGAGAATGATAAGCTACACAGATCATAAATATCAGGATCTCCTTAACTCGAGCCAGCTCATAATCGGAGCCTCCTCTGAGCTTGATTGTACACCCTAGGTGCTGTGGGCAGCCTTCAAAAAACATCAGTGTTTTGGTTTGTTCTACAAATAAACAAAGAAAATTCAGAGACTTAGATGACAGTCTAGAGGACCAGACAAAATTTACGACCAACAAAAAAAGAAAATCCTTACAGGAATTAAGACCACATTGGACTACTCTCCCTTAACCAGTGTTAACAGTTTTAACACTTGCTGAGTGAACAACACTATATTTAACTAGGAGTTGATTCATTTCTTGAGATCCCCAAGTGAATGTATGCTTAAGATGACTCACCATTAGGTAACTGAAATATCTGCATATAAAATTTGTGGCAAGTGCCCAGGTGTGGTTTAGTGAGCAGCTGGTCCATGGACACCACTAAATCACCTTGGGTCATTCGACTGATTCGTTCTAAAACTTGCTACAACACAGAAAAACATTGTATTACAGAATTAGCTATGAGTAAAAAATCTTAATAAATTTAACCTTAAAAAGTACATGAAGTATTAAAACAAAAGAATACTGACAATCAATTTCCTTAATTTTGACAATTACATGACAATTTTTTTATTCTACATTAGGCCAAATTTACTTGCTAAATAATCAAAAACAAACCATGCTCATGGTAATATCACCAAAAGACAAGCATGGCATGGTGGTACACTTGTATAACCCAGCACTTGGGAGGCAGAGGCAGGAGGCCCAGTGCACATTTGAGGTCATTCTGATTTAATTACTGAGTTCCAGACCTGCTAGAGGTACAGCCTGAGACCTTACCTTCTTTTTTATTCTTAATTTTATTATCTTTTTTTAAAAGAGCATTTGGACAGCCATGTCTTAGTACAAGAGTCTATGGGCAAACAAGCAAATACAAAAATCAGCTTCCATAAAAATGGCCTCCATTTTGCAGAGGGAAGTGAAGCACCAATAAGCACTTGCTGATGGGCTAAACGTCCATTCCACCTTTGGTCTCATAAAGACCAAAGAGATCAGTTACAGGGTCACTTTCTTCCAGTCTGAGTCCACAATCTCAATAATGAAGGAGCTACCACACCTGCATCCCACTTTCAATGTAAGTAGTACATCAAATAAAAGGATTGCTATATACCTACCATACATGCATATTAACTTAAAAGCCATGATTTTTTTGAGTGAATAAATATGGAAAACACTCACTGACTTGACATTAATGACCAGAGTAATGCCATGTTCCAGTAACATGTCCTGAGCGATCCGAGACACTGTTTTCTCAACTAGAACCAATGTGGGTCGAACATCAACTATCCGTTGAACATAATTCTTCAAGAATTCTCTTTCCTAAGTGGATAAAACAGAAATACAAAACCTAGTACAATTCAAGATTTAGACATACTAAAATATCATGATAATCTGACTGTTGATATCAATTTCCAATCTATAATTTCTGATTCACAAATAAGTGTGTAACAAGTTCAAATACAACAAAGAATTTTAGTCATAATTCTAAACTATTCATTATACTTAAAAGTTTTAGGACAAGTTACATCCTCCAATAAATTTTATTTTGAAATAAATTTTGATAATCTATAATTTGCTGAAAATGTAGCTCTGTGGGAGAGTACATGCCTAACACACTCAGGGTCCTGGGGTCCAACCCTAGCAACATGTAAAGCATATGTGTATTGTGTGAATAATAAGCACTAAGAACCCAGTAAGATAAATCTCCAAAGATTTTAAACTAGACTTTTAAGCAGCAAAAAGCATATTGCTATACCTGTCATGATAAAAGCAATTTCTAAGTTGATATGATTATGGACTTTCTTCTTCAGTCTGTAACAAGCAAACATCTCTTTTCTAGATGTCAGAACTAATAACCCTCAGACAAATGCTACTTCACCTATTTCCTAATATCATAGTCTACTTCAAACAAGTACAACTCAAGTTCTAAAACATAATGCTTAATATAACACCACCACAATAGCTGGGTGAGGTGGCGCACACCTTTAATCCCAGCACTGGGGAGGCAGAGGCAGGTGGATCTCTGAGTCTGAGGCAGCAAGGACTGTTACACCGAGAAACCCTGTCTGAAAAACCAAAAAAGAAAAAGAAATTTCACCATAATAAAAGTGTCATTTCAAAACAAATAGTCGGAGGTAATATTACAAATCCTTAAGTGTTTCCTAAGCTTCTGGTCCCCACATAGGAGACAACTGAAAGTGAGCATGTTTCCACTTCTACTCCATGTGCCCAAAGCATTTCTTCAGCAATCTGTGTAACCATTCCCAGGCACCTCAGCATATGAGATTTCTATCAAAATAAACTCCGCTGTTATGAGGGGCATTTCTTCTCTTTCTCTGTTCTACTTATAGAAAGTATACATTTTTGCTTAGCATGCTGGCATACACCTTAAGCCTAGAACTCCAGACTCTAGAGTTTGAGATGACCCTAGGATATGCAGAAAGACTATTTCAAAACAAACAAACAAAGATACTACAATTGTACATTCTCAAATTCTTCCTTTATTAGTAAAATGTTTATTTTCTGAAATACATTAATTCCCAATCTGCTTACTAAAATTTTTGGGTTTGTTTTTTGGTTTTTGGTTTTTGTTTGTTTGTTTTTTCAAGACAAGGTTTGCGCCTTTCCTGGAACTCACTCGGTAGCCCAGGCTGGCCTCCAACTCAAAAAGATCCGCCTGCCTCTGCCTCCTGAGTACTGGGATTAAAGGTGTGCGCCACCACCACCCGGCTATGCTTACTAAAATTTAATTCAAGAACATTTGAAATAATTTTGTTTGTAAAACTCCAATAAAATCGATAGCATTAAGTGCCTATATAAAAAATTTGGAAAAATCTCATACTAGCAACTTAACAGCACACCTGAAAGCTCTAGAACAAAAAGAAGTAATCACCACACCCAAGAGGAATAGATGGCAAGAAATAATCAAACTGAGAGCTGAAATCAATAAAAGAGAAACAAAGAGTTGCTTCTTTGAGAAAAATCAGTAAGATAGTTATTCAAACTAACTAAAAGAAGGAGAGAGAATATCCAAGTTAACAAAATCCAAACCACCCAGGCTGCTGCTAATTCAAAGGGTTGCTCTCCTCAAACTGACAACAGGGCCCCATTGCTAAGGATAACATCCACACAACTCATTGAACATGAAGAGGTCGAGCTGGTACCTACATGGAGCCTTCACCCCTATATTCTAGTCTCTGATGTGAGAAGGTACTCTGTAGGCTACTGAAAGAGAAACATGGAGACCAACCCAGCCACAAAACCTCTGACCTCTAATCTGTCCTACCTGCAAAATATGCTAGGGCAATGGTGGCACCAAACTTGTGGGATTGGCAAGCAATGTCAATCCACAGACCCAGAGAGGTCAGTGTCAGGCTGGGTTCCCCCTCGTGGAATGGGCCTTAAGTTATCATCTACTTAATGGCCAATATCCACTTATAAGTTTAAAAGTCAATATATACCATATTTATCTTTTGGGGTCTGGGTTATCTCACAGGGGGACTGGGGAGGGTGGGGATGAGAGGAGAGAGTAAAGGGAGACAGCTAGGAGACATGGGGCGGAGGGGGGGGGATCCTAATGATATTCTGCTATACTCATAGGTAAGTGCCATATCCAGTCATCATTAGAGAGGCTCCTCCAGCAGCCAATGGGAACAGATGCAGAGACCCACAGCTAGACATAATTTGGAGAGAGTCTAAATGGGAGGTCTCCATCAAATCCCTCCCCTCAGAACTCAGGGAACCCCTCGGAAGAAGCAGAAAGACTGTAAAAGCCAGAGGGGATGGAGGACACCAGGAGAACAAGGCCCTCTGAATCAACCAAGCAAGGCTCATATGATGAATTCACAGAGACTGAAGCAGCAAACACAGGGCCTGCACAGGTCTGCACCAGGTCCTCTGAGTATCTATTACAGCTATTAGCTTAGTATTTTTATGGGATGCCTGAGTGTGAGAACAAATAGGTCTCTAACTCTTGTGCCTGCTCTTGGGACTCTTTTCCTCTTGTTAGGTTGCCATGTCCAACTTCAATATAATAGGTTTTGCTTCATTTTATTATATTTTATTTTTTGTATTATATTCATGTTTGGTTGATATCTCTTAGAAGACTGTTTCTTTCTAATGAGAGACAGAAAGAGAGCAGATCTGAAAGGGAGGTAGAGAGGAACTGGGAAGAGCAGAGGTATATAATCAGGATATATTGTATGACAAAATAATTTATTTTCATTAAAAGGAAAAAAAATTGGTTTCTTAACAGAGGCTTAGACACCCCAGGGAGATAGTACAGCATGTGCTCCTTTAACACTCTGGAACTTTGGAAATGAGTGAAGGAGATTTGGGTGAGCTACTTCCTAAAGTCTAATAAAAACCTGCTGTGTACAACTAACTTTTGAAATGTAACAAGTTTTTTCAAATTAAGGGGTGGCAAGAAACACAAAAGGTAAACATCCATCCCATCAAATGATTTCTTCCAGAAATTCTTACCTGAAGCACAATAGGATCAATGCAAGTAAACTTAGTTTCTTCTCTATAGAGATACTCAATGGAACACTTCAACAGAAGGATTTTGGGGTTTTTAATACAAGAATTCATCTAAAAAAAAAAGTTTGTTAAAGGTTTGCACTTTATAGACTTAATCATAATTTTAAATTCATATTGCTCATAAGTCCTACTAATTAGCATTATCAAACTCTAATTAATTACTTTTGGGTTATTCGCATAATTTTTTCAAAGCAAGTTCTTCAAAATCAACTTGTTCTTACCTATTCCTCTTTACTTTTTTGTTTACTATACACTAAAACATTTAATATCATGTTTTTGTTTTTTAATTTCTCATGCTGTAAGAAGAAATAACATGCCCTAGGTGGTAATGGGTATTATAAACAGACTATTTTGCACACTCTAGATCAGCAGCTTTGAAAGTGTATTTCAGTCTTTCTAAACTTCAAAAGTAGAATAGGAAAAAAAGAATTTAATGGCACTTGAACATTATTCTAATAAATTCCTCAGCAATCTTAAATTGGCAAGCTGACCTGGATAATGTGAAGTTAAAAAAGAAAACATTAGATTATTTTCAAAGCAGAAATTCATGCCACCACTCCAACCATGCAACTAAAACCACAAGCAGAACAGCCTGGGTCCTGCCGTCAAGCTTTCAGTCTAACCAAACTCCACAGGCCACACTGGCAAACGGTTCTGAGGACAGTAACTAACTGGGCAAATAGAGCCAGGCTCTAAAATTAAAGACTGTCTGAATGTGATCGGTGAGGCAAACCAATAATTCATGGATATATTCCTACCTCTCCTACATGATTGTCTTCAACTCCTGAAAGACATCACATATTTAGTCTTTTCTTTCCCCCCTTTTGGTTTTTCAAGACAGGGTTTCTCTGTGTAGTTTTGACAGTTTTGCAACTCGCTCTGTAGATCAGGCTGGCCTCAAACTCAAGAGATCCATCTACCCTTGCCTCCTGACTGTTGGGATTAAAGGCATGTGCCACCACCACCCAGCTAACATGCTTACTCTTAACTCAATAAACATCACTAATTTTGGTTTGACATTCGGTCTTGAAAGAGTAATATACTGATTTATAAGATTATATATGTAAACACCAATGATTTTTGGACCATGTCTAAGAAATAATATTGAATATCACCATATTATTTATAAGTGATCATTAACAATTTTCTAAAGACTAAATGTCTTCTAGTCAGCACTCCATACCAATAATTTCCACATCCTGGATTTGACCTACTATGGATAGAAAATATCTGCAAGACTGGGGTGGGGGGGAAGCTGACTGTGTGCCCTAAGCATACACAAAGTATCTTTTTCTATCATTATAATTTATTAGGGCCTAAACACTACAGCAGAACAACTATTTACACAACATTTACACTGTAGTAGCCATTGTAAGTCATCTAGAGATGATTTGAAGTCTATAGGAAAGTATTCAATAGCTTATATAAAGAGCTCAAGCACCCCAGATTTCAGCATTCCCTTGAGAGCCTGCACCAACACCCTGCAACAACTCAGAGACAGTGCATTAATCTGTCCTTAGAAAAGAGTAAACGCTGGACTGCAGTTCAGCCATCGACGTTCTCAGCCTAGACGGTCGTCTCAATGCTTCCAGAAGTACTCAATGTCTCCTCTGATGAGGCCAAGGTAGCCTAGTTTTAGAATGTTTCCTTGATGACCATGAAGCAGAGCAAGATCTGAGAATGCTGCTATAGTTCCTCAAATTGTAAAGACCAGAGCAGTGAAGATATGGATCAGCAGTTAAGAGCACTTGGTGTACAATTCCCAGCACCCATGGCAGCTCACAACCATCTGTAATTCAGGTACACACATGGTGCACAGGCATACATGAGAGCAAAACACACACAGAAAATAAATCAGTAAAAACATGCTTTAATGTGACGACCAACAGATGACACTGAAATATCCATAATGCCCACTTGCAATGCAAGACTATCCTTCCCCTCACTCATCTACCCTTTCCAACTCCCTTAAACAGACTGAGTGAGAAAGTTTAAGGATCCACATAGTGGGGAGCCCAGAAAATCCTGATAGACACTGTACTTTGAGAATCAAAAACCTCAGAAGCTCAAACCTTGGTGGAACACACAGACCCTGCCTGCTTCCTTCAGTATTGTCTGACATTGCAGCATTTTACACTCTTGCATCCAGAGATTCCCAAATATTCAATAGCCAACCTAACCTCCTATCTAGTGCTAGTGCTCAAAAGATGCTTTGGAGCTGAGGGTAGAGGTATAATGGGTGAAAAGCATAAGAAAATAATAATGATAATTCTGCAGGAAGACCAGTTGTAGAAAACTAAACCATTTGAAGGAATGCAGTCTTTCAGAAAAACCCTGCCTGGAGGCAGGGTCTAGGAAGACATGATACCAGTATCCTGCCCTCTGTTGGTCTGGAACCTGACTTTCCCTCTACAGCCTTCTGTCTTGTGAATTCCCATATTCAGATTCCAACTCATCAGCTCTGGGAGAGCTTCCTGAAACCTCCAAACTTTCCCCTCTATGAAACATGTGGCTTAGGACCCCTTCAACATCTCCTTGACTTCCATAATTAAGAAATTCCGACATATGAGCTTAACACATAGCCATGGTCTGCTGAGTTTCACTGTTGAACTGAAGTTCATTACCTTTTTATGTGCAATGTTCTTGGTACAAACAAAGCCATTGACAACCACAGAATCAAATTTCTTTCCACCAGGGATCTAATAAAACAAGAAAACAATAAAAACCAGTGGTGTGCCCTCAGACTTGATCGGATGACTATTATTTATTATGTCTTTACATCACTGAACTGTTAACATAATGAACATAATTAAGTATGGGCAAAAAGGTGCAGAATATAGTTCATCGCATGATTAGCTAGCTCATCCTGACTGTTTGTTTTCCCACCCTCTACTCTCGAACATCATAGATGCTACTCTAAAGTACTTACTGACTAAATAAGCTGGTGTCTACGGCACTAGTTTAACATTAAATATTATAAGTTAAACATATGTTCAGAACTTAGTATTATCTAACTAAAGCAATTACCCACTGCTTTTCCTCATGACAGTGACAGTAGTCTATGAGAGCAGACTTTCTCAGAAATGACTTTCCACGAAGAAGCATTAAGAAAGGAAGAAAGTGCCGGGCGGTGGTGGCGCACGCCTTTAATCCCAGCACTCGGGAGGCAGAGCCAGGCGGATCTCTGTGAGTTCGAGGCCAGCCTGGGCTAC